TTCACAATAAACAGATAGGAAATAAGGTGAATTATCAGAAACTACTATTCCAAATTATATGCCAGCCAAAATCAAAGGAAATTCTTACTTTTGAGGAGTGAGGCAAAGGACTACTAGGGCAGGATTCTTTATACATTATCAGACATGGAATTGCATTAGGCATTTTTGTTTAATTGTTCTTCTTTGTTGCAAGGAAGGGACCAATCTTTTTTTTTTTTGGTGGGCAAAGGTATTTCCAGAAAGGACTATAATGTAAGAACAAAATGTATTAATAATACTTTAAAGAAACTCAAAGGTAATTTATGAGTTTCTTCAAAAATCTAAATATCTAAACTCACCAAGCAAAAAATAGAAATTTTAAATCATCTAGTCTCAGAAAAAGAAATTGAACAAGCCATAAATGAAATACTAAAGGATAAAATCTTGTTCTAGATGGATTTATAATTTAATTCTATCAAATGCTCAAAAAAACACTAATATTTTAGCTACAAAAATTATTTTCAGTAACACAGAAATAAGAAGCTCTTCTAGACTCCTTTTATGGAACTAATGTGATTATAATATCCAAAACATGGAGGAATAAAGCAGAGAAAGAGAACTATGGGCCAATTTCACTAATAAATATTGATGCAAGAAAAGTAAATAAAATCTTCACCAAAAAAGATTCAACAATATTTTCCAGAAATTCAATATAATCATCTAATAACCATCTGGAATGAACCTAATATTGTGGTTCATTCCAGAAGAGATGGCTCCACATTAGGAAAATAATTAGCGCAATTAAGCTTAGAAACAACAAAAAAAAAACACCAAAACTATGGCTATATCAATACACAGAACAACAACAAAAAAAAAAGCCCTTGACAAAATGTAGTATCCATTTATATCAAAAACCCTAGAAGGCATAAGCATGTAAGATATTTTCCTCAATAATGGTCAAAAGATTTATGAAACTAAAATCTATCCTTATTTGTAATGAAAAAAATAATAAAAGGTTTCCATATAAGTACAGAAATAGAGCAATGATGTTTCTTCTCTTTATTATTGTTTGACATTGTCCTAAAATGATACAATAGCAATAGACAGATAAAAATTAAAGGTATGAGCATCAACAAAGAGGAGACAAAATTATCCCTATTATCAGATGACATGGTAGTTTACTTAGGTAACTCCAAAGAATCAGTGAATAAATTAATCAAAATCATTAATAGCTTCAGGAAAGAAACAGGATACAAAATAAGCCCATAAAAACCATTAGCATTTCTGTATATTACTAACAAGAATCAGGAGAAAATTACATAAAGAGGAAGTACTTTCAGAATAACAACAAAGTACATAAAATATCTGGAAGTAATAAAAACATTCTTTATAGAAATAAAAGAGGGCCAATAATTAAAGCAACATTCTTTGTTCACAGTTGGTTCACACCAATATAATTAAACATTGATGCTATCTAAATTAATTTATGAATTTCGTGTTACACAATTCAAACGACCAACAAGGTACTTTGGAGAACTGTATGGCACCACCATCCTCCCAGTCACCCACTCTAGAGTCACCTTTGTCTCCCCGCCATGTTGAATCTGTGACCAAGTCCTGTCAATTCTTCCTCAAAACATCCCTTGTGTTTCTTTCAAAACATCGCCTCCTCTTCTCCTCTGACACTGTCACAATCCTGATGCAGGCCCTTATCACCTTACACCTAAGATTATTGGTTGGCCTTCTGGTTGGTCTCCTTGTCTTAAGTTTCTTGCTTCTCTGGTCCATTCTCTACTAAGCGATCAGAGTGATCTTCCTAAATTTCAGATCTGACCATATCACTTCCCTATTCAATAGCCAGTGATTCCGCTTACCTCCAGAATCAAATATAACATCCTGTTTGACTTTTAAAGCTCTTCATTAATCTGTCTCCTTTTTACCTTTCCAATCTTCTTACACTTTACTCCTCTCCACACATTATGATCCAGCTATGTTGGCCACCTTCCTGTTCCTCACACACAAGACACTTTCTCTCCCAATTCAGTGTATTTTCACTGGCTATCCCCAATGCCTGCAATGCCCTTTTTCCTCATCTAGACCTCTTGGCTTGTCTGACTTACTTTAAGTCACAGTATCTGACACATAGCATCTCCAATTTCCCCTGCATATATTTGCTTTGTTTGTAGTTGTTTGCATATTCTCTACCCCATAAAATTGCGAGGTCCTAACAACAGTCCATTTTTTTCATTTTTTTCTATCCTCAACTCAATGCTTAGCACAGTGCCTTGCACATAGGAAGTACTTAATAAATGCTTTTTCACTTGATAAGAATGAAATCTACAAACTCTAGACTAGTGACCTTGACTTCTCTTCCTGGCAAAATTCCCTAATGTATGAATTTTTTTCTACTTTTTTAAAATTTTATTTTTATTTTCAGTTCCAACTTTTCACCCTTCTTCCAGCCCCTCATTGAGAAGGCAAGAAATCTAATACCCAATACACATATGAAATCATGCAAAACATATTTCTGCATTAGCCATATTTTTTAAAAAAAGAAAAATAAAGGAAAAAAATACTTCAATCGGCACTGTGAGTCCATCAATTCTTTATCTCAAGGTGGATAACATTTTGCATTATAAGAGTCCTTTGGAATTCCAGTGGAACATTGTATTGATCAGAATCTTTCACAGTTGATTATCTTTACAAATTATTGTTACTGTATAGATTGTTCTCCTGGTTCTGCTTACTTCACTCAGCATCAGTCCATACAAGTCTTCCGAGGTTTTTCTGAAGCCATCCTGCTCATCATTTCTTATAGCACAACAGTATTCCATCACATTCATATACCATAACTTGCATCTATTCCCCAATTGATGGTCTTACCCTCAGTTTCCAATTTATTGCCACCACAAAAAGCACTACTATATTTTTGTACATATGAATCATTTTTCTTTTGCTTTGATATCCTTGGAGTATAGACCTAGTAGCATTATTGTTGGGTCAAAGGATGTGCAGCCCTTTGGGCATAATTCCAAATTGTTCTCCAAAATGGAATGCACTAATATCCCTATTTTCCCACATCACCTCCAACATTTGTCATTTTCCTTTTCTCTTATCTTAGTTGATCTGATGAGTGTGAGATGGTACCTAAGAGTTGCTTTCATTTATTTTTTTCATAGTTTTGATTTCTTCCTCTGAAAATTGCCTGTTCACATCTTTTGGCCATTTATCAAATGGGGAATGGCTCCTACTTTTACAAATTTGGCTCAGTTCTCTATATATTTGAGAAATGAGACCTTTATAAGAGAAACTTGCTGCAAATTTTTTTGTTTTTCCTACTCTTCTAATTTTGGCTTCATTGGTTTTCTAATGTATGATTAAAAGCATAGCTTGGCTATATCAAAAACAAATCATGTCAGACATTTCCTTTTTTTGACAGAGTTGCTAGACTGGTTGGTAAGTCAAAGAAATATTAAGGAACAATCTACCTAGATTCCATTAAAACATTTGGCAGAATTTTACATGCTATTATTGTGGATGAGTTGGAGAGGTATGGGTTAGCCCATCGTAAAGGTAAAACTAGAATAACTACATGCCAAAAAAAAAAAATAGAAGATTCAATGTCAACTTGAAATAAGATATCTACTGGTGTATGCTAGGGCACTTGACCTGTGTGTGTGCCTTTTCAGCTTTATCAATGACTTGAATAAAGGGCTAAATGGATGACCTTGTCAATTTCATTATATGACTCAAGGCTGAGAGATACCTAACATGATATGTGACAAATTCTAGATCCTAAAAGATTCTAAGAGGCTAGAATATTGGGCCATTGGGCTATTAGATTTAATAGTTTAATAGAGATTAAGGCAAAACCCCTATCCTGGGGTTCAAAAAAATCAATTTCACAAGCCTGAGATGGAAGAGTTATGGCTGGATCACAATTCGTATGAAAAAAGTCTAAGGATTTTAGTGAATGTTCTTCTCAATATGAGCAAATAAGGTAGCTAAAAATAATGCAATCTTAGGCTTCATTTAAAGAGACAATTTCTGGAGCTAAGAGGCAACTGGAGGGGCAGCTAGGAGGTGCAGTGGATAGAGCTCCAGCCTTGGAGTCAGGAGGACCTGAGTTCAAATCCGGCATCAGACACTTGACACTTACCAGTTGTGTGACCCTGGGCAAGTCACTTAACCCTGATTGGCTTACCAAAAAGCAAAAAAAAAAAAAACTGAAATAGGAAAAGGAGCACTAGACTTTCTGTCAGGAGGCACCACAATTCAAAACCCATCTTTAGCAATTACTAGCTAGGTGACCATTATAAATCACTTGACTTTTCAAAGTCTCAGTTTCTGTTTCTATAAATTGGGAATAGTAATACCTAGAGTACTTAACTCAAAGGGCTGTTGTAAAATTCAAATGAGATCACACATATAAACACTATGGAAATGCCAACTATCATTATTATTATTGTAGACCTACTATTCTCTTCCCTGATGAGAATATTCCTAAAATATCATGTTCAATTCTGACCACCTAGTTTTAACAAAGACATACTTTGAAGAGCATTCGGGGGAGATCTTAAGATGGTGAAGTCTCAAGGTTGTTCCAAGTTAGCATCAGTTGAAGGAACTGAGAATATTTAACCTGGAGAAGCGGAGAGCTAGGTGGAAGCAGGGAAAGAAGGAAAGAAGGAAGCTGCCAGGAGATAGCTCTAGGTTCCATGCAAGGAGAAAATTCAAACTTTCCAAAAGTAGAACGTATTGCCTTGGGATGCGGTGTGTTTCTCCTCACTAGAGCTTGGGTGAATGACTTTTTGTTGGGATTATAGAGGGGACTCCTGTCCTGATAAGACCTGGATTTTTGTGATGTCTAAGACTCCTTCCATTTCTGAGATTCTCTGATGGAAAAACACTGCCCTCCCCATCTGCCCTACCTCCCCACCCACCCCCGACTAAGCAAACCAAGGAAGCATTTTCTTAACAACGTATACCCAATGTTTTATTTTTGTCTTCTGCCTGCCTAGCTGGAGAGAAACAGGTTGATGAGCAGCCTAAATAATAAGCTGCGGACTCTGCAAGGTGACATACAAAGTCTACATGAAATGTGCAGGAACCAAGGAAGGACCTTGGAAATAAAGGAACTCTCCATTCATGAGATGGAAAGCAGCATCAGCCTGGTAAGGGAAGGCCTGAGCATGCCAGAGCTGGTCTTTTACCAGTCAATCAAATGCACTTACTAAAGACTTGCTGCGTGCAGCATATACACTTAGAAATTACAAAAGAAATAGGAACTACTATCCCTGCCCTAAAACATATATGTGTGTATATATAAATAAATATGTTGTATATATACATATATATATATACATATGTGTGTGTATACATATATACGCATGTATACACACACACAAACATACTCTGTGCAAAAGCTCCAGGTTAAATTCTGGAAACACAAAAGTGAAAAACAGAGTACTTACCCTCAGGAATTTTCAACTTAATATTTTACTGTCCACCTCCTAGATCAAATACATCTAGAACTACGAAGATCTAACTACTTTCTTGTCCAGATCTTCCCATGGGCTATTTCTACAGTATTTCAAAAACCTGCAGTCCTTCTGCCTGATAGATAGTCTATTTCACCCTAAAGATTCTTCACAAGTCTTCTAAACTAGTCACAGAAATAAAAACTCTCCCACCAGACCAGAAGTAGCCTCTTTTACCATTAGCACACTATATCCTGCCAGGGTTTGTAGTAGCAAGGCTGCCCTGATCTCATCATCATTGCAAGCGCCTTTTACTCTGAGCTACTCCTGATGTCCAGACAGTGCATCAGTCAGTCTAGGAGATTTTATTGCAGGCTGAGAATCCCTATCTCTTTGTAGACTCTGGGGCCAACTTTTTAAAAGGCCATCAGACAGTCTTCAAATTTATACCAGCACAGTTGGAGGAATCAGGTACCAAGCAAATTCTTTTGGGAAGTGTTAAGGATGGTATTTCACCTCTCCATGGTTTGGGATTTTTTTTTAAGTTTGCTTATTTTTTTGGCAGCTAGGTGGTACAGTGGATAGAATGTCAGGCCTAGAGTCAGGAAGATCTGAGTCCAAACCTGGCCTCAAACACTTACTGGCTGTGTGACCCTAGACAAGTCACTTAACCCTGTTTGCCTCAGTTTCCTCATCTGTAAAATGAGCTGGAGAAGGACATGATAAACTATTCCAGTATCTTTGCCAAGAAAACCACAAAAGGGCGTCACAAAGAGTCAGACAAAACTGAAAACAACTAAACAAACACCAGAAAAACCTGACATACATACACACACACACACACACACACACACACACACACACCATATGTGTGTGTCTCATATATATATATATAAATATATAGATATAGATATATGAGAGACACATACACACGTAAGGTTAGGGTTATGGTTAGGGTGTGAATTTAGGGTTAGGGATAGATAAGTAGACATGTATATAATATAAAAGACACATTAAAAGAAGGTTGTACATAAATCTGAATATCTCTGTTATGTACAGCTTGCTTTTTTATATATATATTATGTATACAATAAATTCAACTCATAGCTTGCTTTCTTTCTTTTTGTGAGGCAATCGGGGTTAAGTGACTTGCCCAAGGTCACACAGCTAGTACGTGTCAAGTGTTTGGGCTGAGGCTGGATTTGAACTCAGGTCCTCCTGACTTCAGGGCCGGTGCTCTATTCACTGCGCCACCTACCTGCCCCAACTCAGCTTTCAAAGCTGTCCTGTTTGTCTGTGTTTCTTTCTGGCTTGCTTTTTTTTTCCTTTTCACTATACTATTTGTAAAAACATATATATCCCAATAACCTTCTTTTCTTTTTCATTTTTTTTTTTTTGCTATGCCATCCCTAGCCTCCCTCACCCTCCCATCTATCCTTACTGGGGGAAAATGAGCAAAGAAAAGCAAAGCCTTTATGACAAATAGGCATAATCAAGACAAATTCCCACATTGGCTGTGTCTCCAAGGTTCAGTTTTCCTCAAATGCCTTATTTGCCTTCATAATTTTGGCTTTGAGTTGCTGGTAAACTTGGAAGGGATATTGATCACATGGACGCATGGCTGAGTCTTAAAATTACCCTCTGGTTTGCCATCTTATCAACAACTGGGCCCATTAGAGTTGTCATAAAGTTTCTGGTCTTCTTTAATTGTGTCTGTTAGACAGGCCATGCACTTGCCACCTCAATGAAGAGATGAAAAATTGCTAGTCTTCAATGCTCTGGAAATCCTGCTAACACAAACATTTCTACTTCAGCCCACTGAGCATTTCCACCCTTTTCCCAGGGAGTACCAGTTATAGGAGAAACCCTTCAGTTTTCCTAAAAGGTTTCGAGAAAGGATATGAACTTAATTTCCTTTTCTATTAATATTACCCTCAGCTCCACAATTATATCTAGATTCCTCTGCCAGATGTAGGGAGAGATCTTCATATTGCTGCAGCGAGTTTTACTTATTAAGCAATTCTCTTCTGAGACGGGGAGGGTCATGTGACCAAGAGCCCCTGCAGCTCTCTGCCCATACACCCGGCATTTCCCTTCTTCTAATTGCCGGGAAGATGGTCCAACAGCACGAAACCACAGTCAAAGCATTCCTGCTTCTTTCCGGCACTTACAGCAGAATTTAAATTGCTTCCCCATGGAAGCACAAGTAGTTAGATATGGACTCGTATTCATCCTGTCATCTTCTAGAGATATGCAATCATGCCAACTGCCGCATCTACCTTTCTTTTTTTAACCCATCTGTTTATTTGGGGAACACAGACCTACACTGACAGGCCTCCATTCTGAAAGCCACTGACACACATGACCAAGTGTTTTCCTCTAGATCTGTTTTCTCTGGTGGAAACTAAACTTGGAAAAAACTAATGAGGTTAGCTCAGAAGCAAGGGGCAGAAGACAAAATTGTCTGACATTACAACATACAGGCCTTGAAAAATAAGTGCAAATTTCAGGGGAAATATACAGGAGTAACTGAAGGTTTTACCTCAAGCTCACGATGTCTTCAATGGAAAGCTGAGCCCTAATGGAACGGTGTTTGACTAAATGCTAAGTTGGTAAGAATAGAACTCATTCAGAAAGGGCAAGAAGGGGGAAAGGAAAGCAATATAGTCCCATATATCAGAGATATTATTTATACACATTCCAAAACTCAGAAATCAATAGAGCCTTTGAGTTGAGTTGAAAGGGTAAGATAAAGATTAAGAAACAGCAGATAGAGATGAAAACTTTAGGCTGTCAACTGGATTTTTAAATGGTTTGGAATTTTGCTTTCAATGAACATCAGTTATTTGTTTTACTGACCTGACAACTCATCTTCTTTCCTTGTCCATAAGCTATATATACTTCAGGGAGGGGGTTGACCTAGATGACCTAGAAGGTGCCTTTTACCTCTGTAATTCTGTGATCTACTCAATTATAAAGGAGATAGATAATATAATAAGGAGATGCTTAACCAGGAAGAGAAGGTGCAAGAGGCTCTCTTCATAGAATTTCCTAGAGCATCTTTGGGCCTGATGATGATAGGAGACTTTCTCTTTACTCAGACTTCCACTACAAAAAGAAATGATGTAGCAGGCTACATACTGTCACTCCACTGACTGGAGTGTCTTGAGGAGAGAATATCAGCATGAAATTTAGAAGAAAAAACTAGGTAGAGTAGATGCCCTTCTGGATTTGCTTCTTACAAAAGATTGCTGACTGAAAAAAGAGAATTAGATCTTAGCAGAGGTGATGACAAACTGATATCATTTGTAATACTTGGGGATGGAAAAAGAAAATTGAGCAAACTAAGAAAAATGAAACTCACGGAAGTTTAAAGTGTTGGTAAGAAGAAAATCTAAAGAGCAAAAAGTAATCTGGGGATGCTTTGTAAAAAAAAACCAGTTATGCATACAGGCATAAAGATAGGCTTCACTGTAAAGGGCAGGAGATACACCTTGCAAGAAACACAAAAGGTAAGAGATAAATATTATTTAGTGTTAGAAGGCCAAAGAAGAGCTACAAGGAAAATGTCACACACTTACATAAGGAAGGAAAATTGATAACCATGTCTGCAAAAAGGCAGTAGGATTTTTTTTTTACTTCTGTCTTAAACAAACAAACAAAAACTGTGATCAAATAACCAGAACGATTACTCCCTGTGAAGAAACAGCAGGAAGCATGGTTGGAGAATCTTTTTAAAAGTTACATGTAGGCAAATCAGAAGGACCTGATGACAGGCACAGAAGCACACTGAAGGAATTGGCAGGTATTCTTGTGGAACTGCTGTGATTTTTGAGAACTTAAAAAGGAAGAGGATGAGGAAGTCCCTAAGGACTAGAAAAGTGCAAATGATATTTTCAGTGTTTTTTTTTTTTAAAGGTCAGAAAGGACACTTCTGGTAATTATGGGAACAGTTAACTTGGATAACAGGGAAGATACTAGAACTAATCATGAATCAATTAACATCATCCTGAAAAGCACAAACTTGGGGTAACAGCCAGGATGCCTCTTCAAAAAGCAAATCACACCAGACCAATTAATTTCCTTTCATAATGAAATGAGAGACCATCGAGGTAAAGAGGAAGCGAGAGCCATTTAGAAGCAACAAAGCCAATCTGTTAGCGCATCAGTGGACAACAAGGTTGACTAGGCATGGGAACCAGTTCCTGTAGGAATCATGGCTTAGAGTTGGGTGCAAGGCGTGCCTGAGACCAGTTCTGGATCAGATGACCTCTGGAAATGTGGCCTAGCTCTGTGATTCTGTGATTTTTATTCTAAGCACTAATCAAGTTGCTATTAAATTATGTCCAACTTGCTTGATTTCTCCAGATCCCCATTTGGAGGTCAAAATAGAAGCTCATAAAATATTCATATCCTCATTGTATGGAAAGAAAACGTTTCAACAACAAAAGGGTAACAGGAAATGCAATGATGCCTTCAATTATACTTTTCTTTGACTCATATGCAAATTAAATAGAAACAATTCTTTAGCAGCCTATTTTCTATTCACTTTGAATTAAGAAAAATAAAAACCTTTTGAACACATGAGAATAAATAAGTGGAAATTTAAAAGGATTCAAATACATCCAGGCATTCCTCCAAGTCTCCTGAATGTCAATGGTGTCTGAATGTGAAATGTCCTTCTCTTGTCTTCTCCTTATTACTCTGTTACAGGCTGCTCTATTCCAGCCAAAAGAATATAAAACTATCTGAGAAAATGTTTCATGTGGTGACTCTGGAGACAAACACTACAGTTTTTCAGCGGACAGAAATAGTCTCAGAATGTCTTTATAACAAGTGAGACGGTATGAAATAGACCTCTGCTCCCTGATGCCAGGGAGGAATGGACTGCTTCTGCCCAGCTAGCTGGTTTTGAGAGTTCTTTGCACCTTTATAGCTGTCTAGGATACCATGTTATACCAATCTAGCACAAATGTGGAGACTTTCAATATTATCTCCACACTAAGAAAATCATGAGTTTTTTGCACTCGCTAAATATTAAGGGTCGTCACTATTTTCAGCACTTGCTTCTGCTCTCAGGAAATTTCCAAACCTCATTTAAGATATGAATACATGCAGGTTCAGGGTTTATGGAGGAGGTGGCTTTTTTCAAAAATAAAATTTTAAAAGTTTCTTCCATCGTTTTTCTGGATGATGAGAAAAATACATCCACGCAGTGAGGAGAAGGGAAGGCAAAGCAAGGAGAGGTAACTAACAAGGTGATATGGTGCCCAATGTTAGTTTCTCATCAGGTAAAGTATGTCCCAGTCAGCAAAATCCAATCCAGTTCAGCACTGTTGGGGGAACTTCTGTGCGTCCTATTTCCTGATGATCCAAGGTCGAATCATTTTGAAGATGAGTCCTCACTGAGTCAACCTCTGAAAGAAAGGGAATCCAAAAGGAATAAAATGTGCAAAAGCATTTTGTTTGTTGTAATGTTTGCAGCAAGAGGATATTATTGATGAGTCTTTACTTCACGATCCTTTTCCAGGAAGCCTTTCTTAATTCACCCCAACTTTTGACAACCTCTCTCTTGCTTTGTAATCTACCAGCACTGAAGTATCCATAAGCCCAGACTCTGCTACCAGGGCTGTGGCTGGTGTGGTAACGCAACAGGCTCTCTGCCTTCTTTGCTACCACTTGAAGATGTGGAGCTATTTCTCGTCACAGTAGCCTTAAAAGCATCTCATGGCCCTTTGCTTTCCTTATCCTTGTACCTCTCCTCTAGTTGTTTTTCTCCCCCTAACTAACAAGCATTTCTTTTTTCTCCCACCCACCATTGGAAAAAGAAAAAGAAAACGAAAACCCTGATGATAAACACGCAGAGTCAAAGCAAACTCCATATTGGCCATGAAAAATACGTCTCATTCTACAGCTTGAGTCCATCACCTCTCTGGAAGTGATGGATAGTATGCATCATTATTATCAGTCTCCCGAAACTGTGGTCGTTTATTACCATAATCTGTTCAGTCATTCCCTAATTGATGGACACCCCTTTAGTTTCTAGTTTGGGGCTACTATGAAAAGAGCTACTATAACTATTTTTGTACACACGGATCTTTTTCCTTTTTTATCTCTTCGGGGTATAGGCCTAGCAGTGTACCCTTCCTCAGAGAAAGGTAAGTTGTCAGACTGCCACACACTCACACTGACACATTCTTCTTGAATAGAGTAATTACTACTTTGCCAAAAGCAATGAGCTCATATAAGGTCCCAAACTCAAACCAGGTTGGTATACAGGGTTGATACAGTCTGGTCCAGCATTCACCATCCCCAAGTACAGTTTCTACTGATTTCTTCATATCCAGTAGCTCATCAGAGCCAAGACTTAGGTAAGCTTCAATTTCAGTGTTTCATTTTGCCTAACTCTTAGAACCTTCTATCTTCACTTTCTCCTTCCAGGTCAGTCTCTCTCTCTCTCTCTCTCTCTCTTCCTCATCCCCTTCCCTGTCTTGTTCAATCTGAGGTATACTTGCCCCAGCGGCCCAAAAAGTGTATTTCTCATGCAAGCCCACTTGCTTCTCTCTTTCTGGGTCTCAGCCAAGTTGAGATTCCTTTTACCAGCCACCTGAGAAGTCTATGTTCCTTCTGATTCTTAAGACTACTAGAGAGAATATCCCATTGGACCTAGAAGTTCATTGATGTGGGCACTTTATCCATGAGTACAGATCACAATCTCCTGCAATTCTTGTACATTTCCTCCCATAAATCCTCTGGGTCTTTAAAACATTTTGTGGGTATCAGAGAAACACTTCCTTTATTCCTACTTCCTTTCCTAATCATAGGTGTCCTGGATGATATTTTTTCACAGCTTCTTATACTCAAGTCACTGATGATAACATGCCATAGCCTACCTGGGTCCACCATGAATCTTCCCTTTGCATTGTCAGTCACCAGCTTATTTTGGACTAAAATATCTTGCAAAATCTCCTCTTTTTGACTTTCATTGTCTCTTTTCTCGTTCTCTCAGCCTAGAGCCAATTATTCACCCCCTGAAGGATCCAGAGAAGCAACTCTCATTACCCATGGTTAACCACCTAACACATAACATGTAAATATTGGCATACCAAGAATCCCAGACACTGAAAGACATGCAATTGTCTCAAGATGGGATTCGCCAAATTCACCAAACCACAGTTGTTTAGCTTAACATATTTGGTCACTATGCTCATGGAGCAAAGGTTCTCAGTTCACTACCTAAGCAGATTCATTAGCTTTCATTCATTTAAACGTATGTATATATGCATATATACACACCTGTGTGTATACACACACCCATACGTTGAACACCTATGATGTGCTAGATGCTTTTGAAGGTACAAAAAAGTATAAGATATGATCCCTCCTCACAAGGACTTAACAATCCAGTAGAAAGCTCAGATGTGGACATGAATAATCCTAAGGTAGCATATGATAGGTACCCTGTGATTGGCACTAACAATAAACACTATAAAAGGTCAGAGGCCAGGACTACCGGGTTAATCAGAGAAAGTTCCATGGAGGTAGAATTTGAGCCAGGCTTTGTAAGTTGAACAGGCCACCCTGTTAACCCTAGCAACACAAGTGAATGCCACTGGCCTCAAAAGAGCAGTAAAGGTGTAAATGGATCAACGTACTTCTACCACCTCTATGGAAAGAAACGGTTCAAAGAAGTAGTCTAATGATGGTGTGAGCCTAGTGACATCTTTGCATAGGAAAGAAAATACTCATTAGAAATCTGCACATGTTTGTGTGATTAGCTCATGAATATATGGTTCATCTTCCCAATTAGATAATGAGCTCCTAAAGTACAGGGGTCATATATTCTACTTCCCTTGCATCTTCCATTACATCTAGCACATGGTTGCACACAATGGGCTCAGTAAATGTTTGTTGAATGAATGAATGAATGATGTTGAATGACAACTTCTTTAAAAAAATTTTTTCTATTTTTCTATTCCCAATTATCAAAATAAGATAATGCATGTGACAGTAATTTGCAAACCTTAAAGCACCATATGAACATAAGAGATAGGAGGAAATACTTATGAACTATAAAACACGGTGAAAATAGAAGATGGCATGGTTATCTGTTGCTGCTGCTGTTTGTTATCATCATCGTCATCATCATCACCATTGTTATTAATTATTATCATTTCAGTGTAAACAGCAGCTACAAGCAGAGTCTGGGTGCTGTAACCAGACCCGTCAGATACAACTCCATCAGCTAAACAAAAAGTTGCTGGCTCTTCAGCAGGAACTGGAGATTCGCACAGAAGAATTACAGTCTTCTTACTGCTCACTCTTGCAATATCAGTCCATCCTGGATAAGCAAACCTGTGACCTGGAAATGCTTCACCAACACTGCCAGATGAAGGAGGATGAGGTATGGGTTACAACCGCCATTCATGGAAGTGCAGGCCCATTGAAAATCAGGGACTGAGCCCACTGAGCAATCCTACCACTGCTGCATCTCCTTTCTGTTCTCTTTAGGCTTGGTTTTCATAGACACCTCTTTCTGGTACAAAAACTAGAGCTGGGTCATCAAATCCACCTTTCTTCAGGAAAGTCAGATTAAATCCTCCTAAGTGGACTGAGTTTAGCTACTGGTCAAACAAGTTACACATTAATCAATTCACTTCATAAACATTTATTAAGCACCTACTATATGCCAGGCACTGTGCTAAATGCTGAGAATACAAATGAAAACATAGATAACCCTTCAATCTAATGTGGGAAGACAACTGACGAATGGAAGTTGAAAAAAAGTTGAAAAAAAAGCATTGGCAGAAAGAAGGGGAGAAGGAAGGTACTCCTACATGAGGTCATGATGGAGAGATCCAGACATGTCCGCAAGTTGGTGGGAAATGGGGGAGAAAAACTGTGCTGAGTCCCTTCTTTATGGGCCCATAGCCCTGCCCTCCCTCCAGTCATAGGTTCCAATCAGAGGTACAGAGGGGACTGAGGAGATGTGAGGGCCAGGCAGATTCAGTCTTATAGCATAATGAGATTTCCCAATGATGTTTCCCAGGGAAAGAAGACAGATGGGGGTTCCAGGGAAGTCCAAAAGCAGGGTATGTGGTGGGAAAATTTTATAGTATAATCTCTAATATTAACATCACATATTCAGTTAAGATGTATTATAGAATACAGTGTAGGTTATTGGACCAAGCCTAATTTCTGCCAGACTTCTTTCCAGTTTTCCTAGCAGATTTTAGCAAATAGAGAGTTCTTTCCTAAATAATTTATGTTTTCCACTTCATCTAACATTGGTTCCTGAGTTCTATTGTTTTTGATCCTCCCTTATCTAGTCTTTCCTATTAATCTATCCCTACATCTTTTAACCAATACTAAATGGTTTTGACGACTGTTGCTTTATAATGTAGGTTGACGTCTAGAAAGGCCAACCCTCTCCTGCCCCTACCTCTTTTCATCATTTCCCTTGATATTCTAGACCTTTTCTTTTTCCAAATGAATTTTATTAATTTTTTTAGTTCTGTAAAGTATCCCTTTGATAATTTGATTTGGTATAGCATTAAAATGTAAATTAACTTTGGTAACATTATCATTTTTACCATATTGGGACATCCCAACCATGAGCACTGAATATTCCTCCAGTTATTTAAGCTGTTCTTTATTTCTTTAAGAAGCACTTTGTAAGGGGCAGCTAGGTGGTGCAGTGGATAGAGCACCGGCCCTGAGGACCTGAGTTCAAATCCGGCCTCAGACCAAACACTTGACACTTACTAGCTGTGTGCCCTTGGGTGAGTCACTTAACACCGATTGTCTAAAAAAAACAAAAAACAAAAAGAAGCACTTTGTAGTTGAATCTATACAAATATTTTGTGTGTTTTTTGGTAGACTGATCGCCAGATATTTTGTGCATTTTGTAGTTATTTGGAATGGGATGCAATATTCTATTTGGTCTCCTTGCTTCAACTCTCTCCCCACTCCAATCTGTCTTCCATTCAACTACCAAAATGATTTTCCTGAAATTCAGGTCGCCCCACTGCTCAGTAAACTCCAGCTATCTCCCTGATACATCCAGGATCAAATATAAACTCTTCTCTCTGGTATTTAACACCCTCTCCTGCCTGGCCCCTTCCTACCTTTCCAGTCTTCTTACACTTTGTAAGAGAGAATCATCCACATCCTATGGTCCAACAACAGCTGCATTCCTGCTTTTTGCTGCCCACAACCATCATCTTCTCCACTCTGCCCGTTCCCTGTACCTCTGTGCCTGGAATTCCCCACCTACTCATCCCCTGTTAGCTTCCCTGGCTTTTGTCAAGACTCAGTTCAAATTTCCCTTCTACAGGAGGCCTTTGCCAGCCCCTACTGCTGCCACTACCTTCCCTCAGAGATTACATTTCATCCACCTTGTATTTTTCTTGCAAGCATAAAGCTATTTATATGTTGTCTCCTCCACTAGAATGTGAGCTCCTTGAGGGCAGGGATTTGGTTTTTCCTTTATAATTCCAGTTCTTTGCATAGTTCTTAGCACATAGCAAGCACTTAATAAATGCTTGTGGCTGACCACCATTGGAGTGGTGATAATGCTTAAAATGTAGGAATTTTTGAGGAGTGTAGCTATCAGAAGAAGGGGGAAAACATAAACACCAATAACCAGAGACAGAGATAGTAAGAGAAAGGAATGGGAAAGGTAAGCAGTAAGAAGAGGTAAATAAGCTCCAGAGGGTAAGTGTTATCTGCCCAATGATTTCAGAACACTATTTGCAAGGCTGGGTTAAACTTGAATGGTTCAAAGGGGTCGATTTCACTGAGAGAAACTATGCCTCCCACAAGATATCCTAACTCAGATAAAGTGACCCCGGCCTGTACAAATGAGTAAAAGGCTAAAGAGAGATTCAAACAGATATTTCTAGGCATTCTGCCAAGTTCCTCAAACTGAATTCCTCTGAGCACCAAAGCACAAAACTGTCTGAATTTCAAATGCCCCTCTCCTCTCCCCTTTACACAGTGACCACCTTGAACACCATAATTCCTGAAATGTATCTCAAATGAGGGATGGCCATATGTAATCAGCTTAGACTGTCAGATTTAATTTGACTATCAGAGTTCTTCTCAAGATTATTTGGACCCACAGACCCATCCATGAAGTCTTCTCAAATTGCTACAGTTTACATTATCTCTCTCTTTACTCTGAATTTCTATGGTGCTTATCTCATACAACTTAACACTTGCAGGATCATAGAGCCATAAGATTTAAAATGGGAGATAACACATCTGAATGTATACATATCTTTATACATCTCTCTCTCTCTCTCTCTCTCTCTATATATATATATACATACATACACTTATACATACACATACACATATATACTGTCTCTTCATATATAGAGAGAGATGTATAAAGATATGTATATATATATAAAGATATATACATATTTTATACATATCTCTCTCTCCATATAGATATAGATATATGGAGAGAGGGAGAGAGAGAGAGAGAGAGAGAGAGAGAACAAATACAAAAGAGACTCAAGTTAATATTGGGAGGGAATGTACTAAACAGCTAAGGAATTGGAAAAGGCTTCATGAAGGGAGTGTGGCTTAAGGTTAATCCGGTAACAGAATACCGACTTTTCAGGCCAGGATATGTTGATTTGTTATCAAGAGTCCATCTCAATATGGAAAACAGTGGATGTTTTCCAACACACTTTGGGACTCATTTATTTATATGTATTTATAATCTGGTGTTGGTCCTTTCATTGGCCCATTTAAGAAGTCTTGGCAACCTTTTTATGGCTATTTATGTAATCCACAGCAGCCAAAGTAGTACATCTTTCCATTTCATTTTCTCATAATTCATTTGCCACTAAATATTGTTTGTCCCTGTCAATAAGCAAATTTTCCTACACTTTGAGTAAAGCTTGAAGTCACTTTTCTGCCCATTTCCTAATTCAAAACCATCACAACAATCTAATCTCTTTTGCCAAATTGAACAATTTTGAACTTTTAGCTGATCTGATTTTTGTTTCTGAGTTCAGACTTACTTTTGGACAATCTTAGGTTTCCTCTGGGGTGATATTCCAATTTTTAAAGCTTTACCTTTCTAAAACTATGATCGGCTTGACTGCCCAACTCACAAAGTCACAATAGGGTTGTCCTGAAAGATGGGTCCATCAGCTTTTCAACTTGAGAGACAATACAAATTAATAATATTAATTATACCTTTCCTGTGGTCCATCATTCAACAAGATTCATTAAGCACCTACCACGTTCCAGGCGCTGTGCTGGGAAATGGGGATGCATATAGCAGGGTGATAAACTCAGTTGAAGATTTGGGGTGAGGCTCATGAAATTTAGTCAATTAACAGTCTAAATTTAGTCAATTTAGTCAATAACATGTCATATTCTGTGATCTTTGGGTTTTGATTATTCTTATTTGGAGTCTTGTACCATTCATTCCTTCATCCATCCATTCACTCATTCAATGAATACTTACTCAATACTTACACGTGTAAGTAACTCTTTGTGTAGAGATACTTTCTCAATCAGTTGTATCTGAGATGGATAACTCTTGGTGATGTTGTACTAACAGGTTACAATCTATGAGGAAGAGATGGAAAAGAACAAGGAAGATAACAAAAGGCTTCAGGAGAAGCTCCAAATATCTCAGGAACAACTTGCCTTGGCTGAAAACAGGATCATCTCCCTGGAAAGCAGTTTAAATCTGTACAAGGAGAAGTATCAGGCAGCCGAGAAGAGCCTCGAATTGCTGGAGTGCCAAATGAAGGCCTTAGAAGGAGATGTCAAAATCATCTCCGTTCAGGTAAGTCAGAGGCCATGCCCATTCGCTGCAATGAAGTCAAAGGAGGGTCACAGTCACAAGCACAGTGCAGGGCTCCTAAGTTGTTGCTTTGGACAAACCCTGTGGTTCTTTCAAGGGGGAAAAAGCCACCAAACCTTTTGTCAGAAAAGTCCTCTCCTTGAATTTTCAAATTTTGGTCTTTTGAACTGTAGTTCTGTGCTCTCAAAGGGGTTAAAATCTCCTTGAGATTGTAACATGCTTATTTTGAGAATCCCTACTGTGGGAAGGGTTGTCTTAACCCATTAAGGAATAAAGAAAATAGCCAAAACATGTACCTGAATCTCCCATGTCCCCACAGAAAGAAGCGAGATCCTCCACTCAACAAAAATGCAGTTTAACATGTTAGGGAACAGACGGCAAGAGATGGACAGATCACACACAGTGAACAGGAGACAGAACTGAAGTTCTCATATCTTGTTCTCACTTCTCCAACCAACATCCCTTCATTTTGGGAAAGCCTCTTAAAGACTTTTCTGTGCTTCAAATTCATTGGTAGTGAATTGGTAATGATTTATCAATCATTTGGTAAAACAGAGATAATGGTACAGTCAATTCTTAATTGTCTATCTACGTATTACCCACTAAATAATTCTCTCTTTAGAAAATGCATCCTTCACTGTACTTCTGGGCTGCTTCCCCTCACTATAGCCAGTGAATGCAAATTAATTTTAAAATAAGCCCAAGTAAAACATACTAAGGTAAATCCGTTTCAGTGGGGGTGGGGGTGGATGAGGCAAAGTAGGAATACACTGCAATCCAAAGTGATATATAAATGACTTGATAACCTGCTATTAATGAGTACAAAAATCAGTCCTCATTGAGCATTTCAGGTCGTCCAGAAAAAGATTCTAGGTCACAACATGTAGAAAGTATCTATTTCTCCCATCTCCTGTTGTTCCTGTCTTTGGATAGTAGAGGGTGACACCCTTCACTCAATGATGGATATTCTTGTACCTGGTCATAACCTTTACATCCTGGTGTCTCTGAGCTCCTATAGATTATCATCTCAAACCCATTCCATACCCCCTACCAACCAATTCCTCATTCCCATCCCCATCAACCCTTCCACCCCAAAGTTTTGACCTAACTCCATCCAGCCCTTCCACTGTGCCCTCTGGAATGCTTGTTCCATAAGCAACCAACTTACCTTCATCTTAAATCTTTTCCTCTCCTCCTCCTTCCATCTACTAGCTCTTACTGAAACCTTCCCCCCGATGACACAGCCTCCCTGGCCACCCTTTCCAATACTGACTGCAGCTTTACTCATTCTCAGATCACTGGTCAAGGAAGACGAGTTGGAATACTCCTTGCTCCCCATCGCCACTTCCACGTTCTCCCCCCTGCTCCATCACTCAGTAACCTCTCTTCCTTGGAGGTTCATGCTATTCATATCTACAACCCAATCAAAATCTTGGTAGTTATAGTCTACAGGCCCCCAGGTCACTCCCTGTCCTTCCTCAATGAGTTTGGTACCTGGCTCACAATTTTTCTTTCCTGCCCTCATACTGTAGGACTTCAACATACATATTGATTCTGCCTCAAAAATGCTAACCACTCAGTTCCTCAGCCTAGTTACCTCCTCCCAACTTCAGCCACACATAATGATGGTCATACCCTTGAACTTGCCATCCATCAAGTAATCAATAAACATCTATTAAGCACCTGCTATGCGACAAGCACTGTGCTAAGCCCTGGGGATACAAAGAGAGACAAAAGACAGCCCCTGCCCTCAAGAAGTTCACAATCAAATGGGAGATCAGGTACATTAGGTACATCACACAGAGATATACTTCTGTGCTTAAGAATTCTGGAATCCCTTTGTCTGACCAGAAGCTATTGACTTTTCATCTCTCCCTCTGCCTTCCCATTCAAAATCCTACTCCTAGCCTGTACTTTGACTTCCAATCCTTTGACCCCTCAATTCTCTCCCGGGCCATCCCCTGTACTAGCCTCTCTCTCCTTTTCTCCCCTTCTTAACCTCTTGGTAAAATTAATTCAACTTTACACCATCCTCCTCTCTTGAACCCCTAGTCCTTCCCTCTGTTAATTACTTCCTATTTATCCTGAATACAGCTTGCTTTGTATATATTTGTTTATGTGTTGTCTCTCCCATTAGACTGTAAACTCTTAGAGGGCAGGGATTGCCTTTTGCCTCTTTTTGTATGGCCAGCACTTTGCACAGTGCCTGGCACATAGTAGGTGCTTAATAAATGCTTAGTGATATATGGATGTCAACACAAGTCTAGATTTTCTGCCCTCAAACAATTCTGAAATTCCCCCTAAATATATTTACAAAGCCAACATGTGATTTTCTTTTCTCCTAAAAACACCAGGAGGAAGATGGCAAGGGGGATCAGCCAAAGGAAAGAATGGCAGAATATTTAATCTATGAGCTGAAGGAGACCCAGAAGCGTTTGCATGATGCTTTGCAAAATGGCTCTGAACAGGAAGACACGCTTCAGGAGCTCCGCCATAAGCTCTTTTGCAGCAATCTTAAAGTAAATGGGCAGGGAGACCAAGTTTCTCCTAAAGCAACTTTCATAGAGACAAAAAAAAAATTAAAAAAAACCAAAGCTGTCAAGAAAAAAGAAGAGGGAAAGTAAGGGTAGTGAGGGAAAACTATCTCACCCAATGATCCTCAAACACTGTATCATATGGGCTCGTTTCCATTTGTCCTGGTCCACTCTCTAATGCTCATATCCCTTGCTACTCCGACATGTCTGGCCTGCTTCCCTTTCTGATCATAAATTCCTAGCTCTTATACTGCTTCCAGCATGCATAAAGTCAGTATGTGTCACTGCTACTCATACCTACCCTAAACCTTTCCATTACCTTTCGGGCCACATGCAACTATATCATGTGGTCTCAATTAATAATGGCTAACATTTAAACAGCATTTAATAATTTACAAAGCACTTTACACATATTACCTCTTTTGATCCTCTAAACAACCCTTTGAGGTAAACATTGTGGATATTAATACCTGCATTTTACATGTTTACAAGCCAAATCAAAGAAAAATTGAAGAACTTACCCAACTGTCACCCAGCCAGCAGAGACAGAGCAAAGACTTGGCCCCAGGTCTTCTGGTTCCTAACCCAACACCCTTTGCACAATACCATTTAGTATCTTGATTATGTTCTATACCTGAGCTGTGTCCATTTTCAGATATTGGATCATGAAGAAACTCTGATAAAATTAGAAGTGGATTTTGCTACCTATAGAATGTCCCACAGACAACTTTTCTGCCCTCCAGATGAGTCAGAGGATATCAAACAGGTGGGACGTCCTCATTGGAAAATTTCCACCCTACTCGAGACTGAGGATTAGTAGTCAGGAGTTGGAATTTGGATAGAAAAATAGATAGATAGAAAGATAAATAGATCCACACACAGCTATACATATACATATATACAAACACACACACCCCTCTCACACACACACACACACCTTTGCCCACATCCTAAAGTACTCGCAAACTCAGAATTTAGTCTCAGGATTAGGATTAGAGAGGAGAGATAGAGAAATGCAAATCCATCCCCAGGATGGGGAAAACAGCTCACAACCCCAATCACTAGAGGGATCATCTTTGTATACAAAAGATAACATTAGGGCATCAATACCCTTCTTCTTTATCTTTCCACGGGCCACAATGGTGCTCAGTTGGCTGGTCTTTGAAGCTAAGGCTAAGACAGACAGGAAAAACGTCTTCTTATAATTAGCAGTAGGCTGGTAAATGCTTAACAACTAGCTCTCCCAAAAAAAATGTGTGTGCACAGCACACTTTGAAGATTAATCTGCATTATTAACACTTTTTTCATCACCTTCCTCAGTCTAGACAATCAACAAAACAAATCAAGCTCTGATTTGTAGTGCTTACCAATTCACAAGGTGTAAATATGCTCACATTCAAAATTTTACAGCAAGCTCTCATAAGCCAGTATGAGATATGTTCCAGCACACCCCTGGTTGTATACCACCTCCTGGGGATCGGTGAGCTTTCTCTCTTGCAGGTATTCTGTAAACTCGAAGTCAACTGCCTTCCTTTCCTAGACCCATGTCAGAAAGAATATCTTAACCTTGGAAAAACCAGCCATTGACCTCCAGTTATACTGTGTGTCTAGATCTTAGCACATATTGAGGAGCAGTGTGAATACCAATGCATCCGGGTAGAAGAGTACCAGTACCTCCTGAAGGACATGAAGAAGGAACTAGAAAAAGTATCAGAACAGAAGAAGAAGATCATGAAGGGTAAACCTGGGGGGTGGGGGGGTGGAAGGATTCAAATGGGCCCAAGAGGGAGCTGACGTCTTCTCAGCAAGGGACAGCTAGATGGACAATAGCAATTGCGTGTTATGTCCTGTCCTGTCCTGTTCTGTTCTGTTATAGACCTCATGAAGCTGGAGTTAGATATGCACAACCTTCTGCAAGAGACAGCCACCCAAACTGAGTGGAAGGATAGAGAAGCGAAGGACCTGAAGAAACACATTAGGAATCTGGAGGGCCAGCTGAAAGAATGCCAGAACCTCTGTTTGGAGAAGGAAAAGGTAAGACTAAAAGCACTCAGACTCAGTAGGAAAAAAAAAAGCCGGAGAAGACACTAGAGGAGAAAGGGGACCGAGGATCAGAGGACTTCTAGAAATGCTCACTGTTTACATAGATGGCATACAGGCTGTAATCAGAGTCTGCTCAGAGATCAGAGGAAAGCCCAGGATACCATCAACTCACTGAGATCTCTACTCATAATCCCAACGGCTAGTACCTTCTCTCTCTAACAACCATATATTTGTCTTCTTTGTATTAATTTCCTTTAATTATCTAAATATTTATTCTGTACTTGTGGTCTCCTCCACTAGATGGTAAGCTCCTTCAGAGGGGACCAGTTTCCTTCATTGTCTTAGTATGGTGCCTGGCATGCTGTAGGGTACTTAATACCTGCTTGTTGATTGATGGGTACATAGCAGGTTTTTAATAAATACTGGTTAAATTGAAGGAAGAACACTCAATAATATCTACTATTTAAGAAAGAGATTCTTTCTCCAACCCTAAAAAGCAGCATGTGAACACTACAAAGGGACACTAGCTAGGGATATAACTGTACCATATCATTCTTTTTTTAAAGATATCTCAGTGTAGGAGCAGCCAGCTGTCACAGTGGATACAGCACCAGCCCTGAAGTCAGGAGGACCTGAGTTTAAATCTGGCCTCAGAAACATAACACTCACTAGCTGTGCAACCCTGAGCAAGTCACTTAACCCCATTGCCTAGCAAAAAAACAAAACAAAAACAAAAACAAAAAACCAAAACATCTCAGAGTTCAAAAAATATATATGTTTTAGATTTTTTTAAGATATCTCAGTGGTGAAAATATTTCTGTGGTTAGCATCATTAGGGATTTTGATTGATTTTTTAAATTGCAAGACAAACCACACAATGTGAAAACATTCCACATTTTTGCTCAAAATAAATGTCTCTTAAAAGAACGAATTTAACTCAACAGACTTCTTTTAAGTGCATATTATGTGCAAGGCGCTGCACTCCCAATCACAGGTGTTTACGCAGGGTGAGGTGGGGTAGAATTCCACATGCCAGCACTCCTGGCCCACACTCTGTTCACACCTATGCTCTCAACACTAAGAAGTCTAAAATGTGATGAAGCCTGGAAAACCTCTCCTGGAATGGTGAGATTGAGAAACCAGCAGGTATTTCTGTGGCTAATGTTTTCCCATCACCAAACTTCATCAGAACTCCTAAAAGGAGCTAAATTGGCTGGTTTGTGTTTCCCTTCCACATGGTCGTTGGAGGTTCTAGAGAAGAACCAAAACACATGATCCTCTAAGGGAAAAGAGGAGAAGCACTGGGCCCGGACAAACAGCTCCCTATCATCTGGAATTGATTACAAGATGGAAGGTGAAGGGGAGAGCCCTAGACCTCCAATGACCATGCTTCTTTTTTGATCTACTCAGGTCATTCAGAAGAAAGATGAAGCCCTATCCCAAACTAATCAGGAAATAATTCAGGTGCAACATGCTCTTGATGCAAAGGACTCAGATATAGAGAAGCAAAAAGCCAGAGTAGAAGAGGTAGAGCATGCCCTCCAGAAGGTGAAGGAGAAGAAGGAAAAAAGCGAGACCCAGAATGCTGCCCTGGACGCTAAGGTCCAGCAGCTGCAGCATAACCTGAATGAGGCCCACCAAGGACAGCTGCTATTGGGTGAGTGACTTACAGAACCAGACTTGTACGACAACAAGCAAGTCTCTCAATAAAACACTAACTCACATTTTTTTTGTTTTGTAAAGCATTCATGTTTATATAGCACTTTCCTTACTATAGTCTGTGAGGTAGGCAGGCCAAATATCATCCCTATTTTACAGATGAGGAAACTGAGGCTCAGACAGGCTAAATGATTCATCCAAGTTTCCTTCCATTATCTTCTCTTGCCTTAAAAATTCTTTATTCCACTCTCCCCCTCCCTCTGTTTATCTCTCACTGTCTCTGACCTCATTTTAGGGAGAAGATTAAGACCATTCATCATGAGTTCCTCAAGTGCCCCCCACTTCACTTCAACCTATCACTGTCTTAATACCATTCTTTCCAGTCCCACAGGAGAGGTTTTTATCCTCCACTCTAAAACTAACCCTCTCCCTGTCTACTCTGGATGTCATCCCTTTCCACCTCCCCAATTTGATGATCAACTTTTCATTCTTACCCACTGTTCAAACCACAATGCAGTTTAGAACCTAATTGTTCTCCACCCTCCTCTTCAAAAAAAAAAGAAATGAATACTCCTTTCCAATTTTTAATTTCTTTTTTTTTTAGGCAATTGGAGTTAAGTGACTTGCCCAGGGTCACACAGCTAGTAGGTGTCCAGTGTTTGTTCTGAGGCTGGATTTGAACTCAGGTCCTCCTGACTTCAGCTGCCTCCCAATTTTTTTCATTTCTGATAGTGGCACCAGTCTCCCAGGCTAGAAACAATCTCTTGAAATAGTCTCTTCCCTGTACTTCATACACTTTATCCTATTGGCTACTAAGTCCTATGTCTTCCTTCACCATCTCTTTCAAATTAATTGTTGTTGTTGAGTCATTTCAGTTGTGTCTGACTCTTCGTGATCCCATTTTGGGGTTTTCTTGGCAAAGACAATGAAGTGGTTTGCCATCTCCTTCTCGAGCTCATTTTACGAATGATGAAACTGAGGCAAACAGGGTTGAGTGACTTGCCCAGGATCACACAGCTAGTAAGTGTCTGAGGTTGGATTTGAAGTCGAGAAGATGAGTCTTCCTGATTCTAAGCCCAGCCCCATTCTCACTGTCACTGCTTTAGCCATCTGACCCATTTGCCTTGGTAGATGGCCTCCCTACCTACAGTCTCCTTTCTCTGCCTACATGCTTAACAAGCTAGATTGGCTCCCTATTGCCTCAGGCATAGAGTCTACAACCTCTAAGCAGTTTCTAGGATCTTCTATGATCCACTCTCACACTACCTATTCAGCCTCATTTCCCACAACTTTCCAGCAAAAACACTTCATATCTAGACTGATTTATCACTGCCTTCGACATGGAACTCTCATTCACCACTTCATCTCCCTCCACCGTCATCTCCCCAACACACACATCCCCCTCAAATCCTATCCATATTTTTAAAAATGCATTGATGAATTATAATCTTGACACAACAGATACTTTCCTTTACAAAACGTATTTCTGGGGGAAAAAATGGATGATTACAGAAAGGAGGAGTATGGCCTTAAACTTTGGTAGTACAAACTTCGACTGCTATACTTGACCCAAATTCTGTTGCCTCTCTGTATTGGTTGTTCACATCCTTTCAGTCACTGTCTACACTGTTCCTTTGCCTCTGCTTTTTTCTATTCAGTTTCAATTCATAGAAATATTCCCATTTTTCTTTGAATTCTTCATATTTGTCTGTGTTTCGGCACAGAAACATTCTGTTACGCTCATATACCATAATTTGCTTTAGCTAGGAACCAATCATTTGGCACCTAGTGATTTCCAGCTTTTTGTTTTTACACATAATGCAACCATTGATGTTTTTATACATATGGGTCTTTCCTTCAATCCTGTCAATCACTTACTTGGGATATAGTTCTAGTAATAAGATCTCTGGGTGAAAGGGTATAAATAAATAATTCTTCTCACATGCTTCCTAATTGATTTCCAGAATGGTGTCGCCACTCCACCAACAGTGAGTTAGCATCACTGTCTTCCCACAACCCCTCCCAAGTTTTCCTAACTTTTGGCATCTCTGCTAGTTTGATGGATATCTAGGTAGTTTTTATTTGCATTTCTCTGATTGTTATTGATTTGAAATGTTTTTTTTCAGGTTGCTATTAATAGTTTGTGTTTTATCTTTTGAGGACTATTTATGTCCTTTAACTATTTGTCTACTGGGGAGTTCAAATGATTATTTATAATGTGTATTTCCTCTTCTGAAAACTATTCTTTTTTTTAACTATTTGTCTGTTGGGGTACTATCCATCTTTATCTTCTCTACATAAAGGGAAGACATAAAGACTTCTCCAACTCTCTCAGCTCTACTTTGAATTCCTGTTGCAATTATTAAATAAACCTCCAGGTTAGAATTTAATTGGCTTCTCTTTGTCCTGTAGGTATTAAGTCTGTCTGCCCAACTATAGTGTTAAATCTGTGAGGGCAGGGTTCATATTTTCTTCATCTTCCCCTCCTCTCCAACACAGCTTCTCCTCCCTGCCCCATATCTACCCCAGGGTTAATAACAAAGGGCGTTGACACTTCCAAGCTACTGAAGGAAGAAGGATAAATAGTCTGCCTGCTAACTAAACAGGCACAGAAAACCCTAAGGAACCCAGGGAGAATACACTGGGAAATGGGAAGATATGAGGGCTCTCTAGCACCCTTAGCACCCTTTCAACAAATACGAATCAGATCTGGGCAATCACCATCCACACTTGACAATCTCAGGCTACATTAGGCATAGTGTATAGAATAATGGATGGGATGGTCCTCTCACCACATCTGAAGTATTGTGTTTAGCTCTCTGGGACCCACATTTTAGCAGGGTGACCAAGATGGCCCAAAGACTGGAAACCACGCCATAAGAGAAGACTGGTTGAAGGAGATGGGGATGTTCAGCCTGAAGAGGAGAAGGTTTAAGGGGATGTGATCAATGCCTCCCAGTACCTGAAAAGCTGTCACGTGGAGAAAGAATTAGACTTCAATTATGTCATGTTTACTCACCGTATGCCCAAGTAGAATGTAAGCTCCTTGAGGGCAGGGACTGTTTTCATTTCTGCCTTTATATCCACAGTGACTTACAAATACAAGATGCTTAGGAAATCCTTGTTGAATTGAACTCATGAACGCTACATTTCAACCAAACTGCCATTCCCCAAATTTGATCCTCTCTCTCTCTCCAGCCTCTACGCACTCACACAAGCCAATCTCCTTGCCTGGAATGCACTCCCACCTTATCTCTACATCTCAGAATCTTTGTCTTCCTTCAAGACTCAACTCTGAAGCCTGTCCTGGTTCCCCTCGGTTTTTCCCTCTTCCACTTTCCTTGTGCTATACTTATCTGTATAGACTGTAAGCTCCTTGAGAGCAGGAACTCTTTTATTTTTGCCTTTTGTATCCCTAATGCCTTGCACATAGTAGGGCAGTTTAATAAATGATTTTTGAATTGAATTGAATTGAGTGGAATTGACTTGTCCCACTTGGCCGTGGAGGACAGACTGAGGATGAGTGGGTAGAAAGCACAAGAAAGGCAGATTTCCTTTCAACATGAACTGTTCCCTTTCGTGGAATGGGCTATATTAGGAAGCAGTGGGTTCCCCTTCATTAGATGTCCTTAAGCAGAGGTGAAATGGCCCCAGAGGCAAGATGATCTGGGATTCCTGCTCATATATGGGTTGGATTAGATGGAACTCTGAGATCCCTTCCAATTCTGTAATCCTATTATTCTGTGATTCTCTTCTCCCACTGAGACTAAAGTGGTTCTTTCACTCTCTCCTCTAGCTCAGAAGCTGTCATGCGTTGATAAACAGACATCTATGCTAAAGGATAACCTAGACTGTACCCAGCGGAAGCTGGAAGATAAGATAGCTGAGAACATGGAAAAGAAAGAGCTTATCGACAAGCTTTCCAGTGAGCTCAAAGGACATCAGAAAGATAAATCCACACTAGTGGATCTACTGGAAACAGAAAGGTACTAGAATAGTTACCAAGGACAGGGAGCTCGACCTCTCCTGACATAGCCTTGAGAAAAGGAAGTGCTTTGGACATTGACAGCTGCCTACACAGGCTTACTGACTGGAACATTCCCATTGGGGGAAATTGTCCCAAAATTGGGACAAATTATGGAATCTAAAGCTATCCAACTGCTCATGGAATCAGGTTTCAGCTCTCTAGACACTCCTATTGCCACATGGCCTCAGTCTCCACAAGGGCTGAGGCACTCAAGGCCTACTCTGTTGAAGATATTCAAACTAAGGGGATGGGGTTTACAGCCTTCCCACTTGTCACCTAATAGCTATGGTATTTTCCCCTCTGTTTTGTTTTTATTCTTGTGTTTCATTTTTATTTCCAGTTTTTGGTTTTACTTTCATATCCAGATATGTCCCTCTTCTTTCCCTTCTCCTCAAAGAGTTACCCCTTATGACAAAGAAAAAAGAGAGACATAAAAAGAGTTCAGCAAAACTAATCAATACATTAACCAAGCAGTCTAACAGTATATGCAACGTTCCACACCCACAGTCATCCTATCTCTGCAAAGAAGGGAGAGAAGGGCACTTGCCCCTTCCCACTGACTTTTTTAAGGCGAAGCTTAATCATTACAATTGTACAGCATTCAATTCCAGATTTTTGGTTCTTTCTATTTACATGATTGTAGTCATGTATATTATTTTCCTGACTCTGCAACAGTTTATATAATTCTTCCCATGTTTCTTTGTAATTTTCATATTCATTCTTTCTTATGGAGTGGTACTATTCAATTACATTAATGTCAGTCAAACATCAATCATTTTTCAAGCACCTACTTTGCACCAGGCACTTTGCTAAGTGTTGGAGATACAAATTTGGAAAAGCAAATGATAGTCTCTACTTCAAGGAGTTTACAGTCTAATGGATAACAATCTATTTCATTATTCTCCCATCAATGACTTTGCCTTGATTTGTAACATTCTTCTAGAAAGAATATTGAAATGCTGACGTCAGAACTTGAAGTATCCAATAGGAAACACCATGATGCAGAAAAGGAGATCACAGAACTTCAGAAATCAGTGGATGATATGAAACCACAGCTGTGTAAAAGCCAGGAGAAGATGAAGGAACTTATAGACGAGGTTTGATGGACAGACAGGAGATCAACCTTTGATTTTCCTTTGCTCTAGATATAAACAGGAACCTTTAGATAGGAAAGATGATGTTACCAATTCACTGTGAAATATTTTTTTCCAGAACTAGTGGTAGATTGTGCTGAGCCATTCATATATCTCCTCTACTGATCTTGAGACTAAGAGCATGCACATGTAAGCTAGCTGGTCAAAGTTAGTTTTCACTTTTTGCTAAGCTGACAAGGGGTGAGCAGCCTCTTTCTTTAGAATATTTACCCCCAAAGAGAAGATGCTCATAAAAGAACAATAAGAAAAATTCATTGCCCAATGAGATTTCATATAAAAAATATTGGTGGGAGATGGGGAGAGGTAAAAATCTACAGCTGAAGTCCATTAGTATGCCCAAGGCCAAGGCGATCAATGATGGCTAGGAGAAACTGAAGAAATGAAGGAAGTTTTTTTCCTGAATATTAGTGGAAACTCCATCATGAAAGCTGACTTACCACAGAGATGGCCTCAATTATTCTCATAGTTTTCAAATTACAATTACGTGTAATTTCTTTCTTTCTTTATGAGTGCAATGACCATCCCAGAGGGGCATCAGAAAAGATACTGACCCTTTGGTCCTGATTTTATATTCTCAGCTTGAGGAGGAATGTTATATTAATCAGAGTCTGCGAAAACAACTGAAACAGCTAGAGAGGGAGCGAGAGAACCACCAGGACTTGAGACTAGCGTGGAAAAACCAGGAGAAGGAGCTAAAGGACAAAATTGAGACACTCAAGAAGGAAATCCAAGACAATAAGAAACTGGTGAGAAATATTATGCAGGGAACTGAGGTAACGGACCCAGGCAGGGCAGATACATCAGAGAATAGATAAGCAGACATCAAAACTAATAAGAACAATAGAGCATTTGTGGCAGAGAGGTGAGCAGGGCATCCCAGGATGGGAGCAGGACTAGAATGGGGCTGTAGGTGTTATTATTTTAGACAGCATGTGATATCTCAGACTCTGATCTTTGTTCTCTGATGAGGTAATAGGAGATGGAGAAACTGAGTGTCCTTGAACATCAGGTCAAGAATCTTCGGGATCAGCAGAAACATCCTTCACAGCAGAGCAGAACTCAGAACAAGCTCGAGACTGTTATGACATTGCATCTCTCTGAAGAGGTGAGCAGACCCAAAAGACCACAGCAATGGAGAAAAGGGACAACTTGGCCCAGTCCCCTGCACTCCCTACCCATCCTCTGATACACAGACACCACCCACCCAGTGAGTAACACAAAAAAACCCTGTGACCACTGTCACCCCTCAGCTGACAGTCAGCATGCATACCCCTCATGCCAAAGTCTGGTTTCACTTTCATATCCCAGCGACCAGTCAGAGCCCCTTTCTCCAGAATTTATAACCCAAAGAGAAGATGCTTGGCTTCTGTCTCCTCATGTACATATGCATACAGACAGAGACAGATATAAATGTGAATCCTGCAAATATCTAGACCCTGGCATCACCCTCTGCCTTTCCCCATCTCCTACTTCAGGTTGAAGGGGTGTACTGATTGACTGGTTAGTTGTTTAACAGCATGAAATCCAAAGAGGAAATGGCTAGGAGTGGAAAGCAGGAGGATGCCTACCCTCCCAGTGTGTGAGTGAGGAAAAGATGAAAAAAAAAGGCCAAGAATACTAAAATTTCCAACTATACTGGCTCCAGTTTTCTTTTCAAGAGATGAGTTTGTAGAAGAGGTCAAAGAGAGGAAGATGAGGAAAAAAGGAATAAGATCTCACAGGAGGAAGTGTGGAAGAATAGAGAGAAAGAACAACAAGCGTGGGTCTGGGTGGTAGCTGAGGAATCACTCTCTCGAGCTCTAGGCTTCATTTCTCCATGAGGAATAGGAGAAGGAAAGGCTTGCTAAGATAGAGGCTGAGAAGCAGGCTCACTCTCCAGGATCAGCTACAACAGAATTCATTCCAATTAGAATCAGTTACACAAAGTGTTGTCGAAAAGATCCAAGAGCAGGTAAATAAGGTGAGCAGACCCAAAATCACCACAATGGTGGAGAAGGGGGACAGCTTTGGATAGGCAATCTCTGATCCAGCCACCCATCCTTTGTCACACAGGTATACCAACCCAGTAAGTAACTAATGCCTAAAATCCTATGACAAAGGTCAATCCTAGGCATCCTGCTGGAACATCCAGCCCTTCCTATCCTCATAACAGAGCCATGTTTCAGTTTCACGTCACACTCACTAAGGCAAAAGTCACTTCTTTCTCCATGAAGGAAGTGTTTTTTTTTAAATATAGGCTTACTAGCTGAGCATAAAAAGCTGTACCTTGGAACCACCTTTTCCCACCTACTCTTTGAGGTTGGCTAACTGGTTAGTTGGTTGGATTTTTAAACCTGGAAATTTAAAAAAAAAAAAAACATAGATGGAAGTAGAGAGCAAAAGACTACCTCTCCACATTCCTAGGTGAGTAATGAAGTGAGAATAAAGTAAATCCAAACAGTCAGTTTTATAACCTAACTCACTCCAAGGATCTTTGTAAGAGTTTGTAGAAGTCTAATAAATTGATGAGAACAGGCCAAGAAATCACAGGATAGAGTGTAGGTATGACTCCAGGTGATGCAATTTTAGATGACAGGTAATTCCTAATGGTTGGAGCTTTGTTTTTCAATGACAAGTAGGAAGACAGATTGAATGAGCCTGAGGAGGAGAAAGAGACTCCAAGATCAGGTAAAACATTATCCACTGTGATAGGAATCACTTACAAGAAAAGTCAGTCCTGCTGAGAAGAAGATACAACAGGGAGAAAAGGTGAGGACGCCAAGAGCACCACAGGGGTAGGGAAGAGGAACAGCTCTGGACAGTCATTCTCCAAACTAGCCACCCATCCTTTGTTACACAGCTATCAATCCCTAGTTTGTAACTAGGACCTAAAATCCAAGGACAAGGATAAATCTGTGGCTTTCAGGTCAACACACAACCATCCCTCTCCTCCTACCAAAGCCAGGTTTCACTTTCTTATCAAACTCACTGAGGCGTATGTCATTTCTTTCTCCAAGTAGGGAGCCCTTTTAAAAAAAATATTGATTTAATAGGAGCCCCTAACCATCTAGAGGTTGGAACGAGTTTTTTTTTTTCATATCCTCTTTGAGGTTGGCCAACTGGTTGATTGGTTGCATGTCTTCCAGGGGAAACAAAGGGAAAAAGGGAGTGGAGGGCAGGAGAATACCTACTCACTTCCTACTATGTGAGTAAGGAAATAAGAGAAGAGAAAGTCAGTCAGTTTTCCCACCAAACTCACTCCAGTGTTCTTTGCAAAAGTTTATAGAAGAGGTTAAAGAAATTGATGAGAACAGGCCAAGATACCAGGGAATGGAATGTGAGACTGTGGCTAAGGATAAGTATAAGCATTTTTAGGTCACAGGTAATTTCTGATGTCTGAGACTTTGTTCTGCAATAATGAGTAGGAGGACAGGTTGTATGAGCCAAGGGATGAGTACCAGCAAAGCCAGGATAAGATGCAATATTACCCATCACAACGGGACTCACTTCAAGAAAGCACAATGCTGATGAGAAGATCTAACAACAGGGAGAAAAAGTGAGCAGTGCTGGGGAAGGGGGACAGCTCTGGAGAGTCATTTCACTTTCATGTCACACTCACTGAGGCAAAGCTCACTTCTTTCTCCATGTAGGAAGCATTTTTTAAAGTATTTATTTAATAGGAGCCCCAAACCACCTGGACCTTGGTACTACCTTTATCCATCTCCTATTTAAGTTTGGCCAACTGGTTGGTTGATTGGTTGGTTGATTTAGAGCAAGACCATAAAGGAGGAATGAGTGAGAGAGAAAGGCAGGAGGCTACATACCCTGGTTCCTATTATGTGAGTGAAGAAGTGAAGAAAAGGAAAGTCAAGAGAGTCATTTTTCGAACCAAACTCACACCAATTTCCTTTGCAAGAGATTGTAGAAAAGGTGAAGAGAGCTCTTCCTCCTCCTCCTCCTTCTTCTCTTCCTCACCATCACCACCATCATCTTCCTCCTACTTCTGCTGCTTCTCCCCGCACTCCCTTGGCCATGCCTCTTTAGTGAAGCAGCAGCTGAGGAGACTCCCAGACTTGCCATGGCCAAGAAAAAGCCTAAGAAGGAGTCAAGACTGAAAACAATGACCACGTTAATTTGAAGGTGGTAGGACAAGATGGTTCAGTGGTACAATTTAAGATTAAGAGGCACACACCACCTAGTAAACTAATGAAAACCTGTCGTGAACGACAGCGCTTGCAAATGACACAGATCAGATTCCAATTTGATGGGCAACCAATCAATGAAACAGACACACCTACACAGTTGGAAATGGAGGATGAAGATACAATTGATGTATTCTAGCAGCAGATAGGAGGCACTTACTAAAAAGAGAACCTGCAACTCTACTCCAGAACCGTGCTCCCAAAGAAAACAATACATTCACAATTAGAAAACCAAGATTTGGTTCATCTACATCCTGACTACTTCAGTATAGTTTTCTCTCTTCTTTGATTCCCTTCCCCCATGCCTTTATTGTAACTGGTATATGTGCACAGGCATAATGTGTATTTTTTTAACTAAGTGGCTGATGGTATGCTTTGATCAACATCAAATGGAGATGGGGGAAGTGGGAAAACAAACTGGTTCTATGAAAATAACCCTTTTCCCCATTAGTGGCATGCTTATTAACTTTTATCTTTCTATTCCAGTAAGTTATTTTGCTATTTAACACCACTATTTAACAACAAAAAAAAAAACTCACCAAAAAAATACTTGTATATCTTGTTTAATTGGACAATTTCCATGTCTTTCTTTTATCACTGTAAAACTAAGGGTGATTTTATAACCTTTTTGTACGAAGCTGTTACATGTAGGACAGTCTCTGTCTCTCAGTAGGAATAAATTACTATAAATAAATTGATCCCCAGCCCCAGACACAGAACACTTACTAGCTGTGTGACCCCGGGCAAGTCACTTAACCCCATTGCCTAGCCCAAAAAAAAAAAAAAGAAAGAAAGAAAGAAAAGAAATTGATCCTAGATAGTTTTCCCTTCAAGTCAAACAGCATGTTATTCAAATAAACTTCTTGTTTAAAATAAAATTTAAAATGTTTAAAAGGTGAAGAGATTGACGAGAACTGGCTAAGATATCACAGGATAAAGTGTAGAACTGTGACTCAGGGCTATAGGCATGAGCATTTTAGGTGGCAGGTAATTTCTGATGTCTGGGGCTTTATTCTTATATGATAATTAGGAGGGCAGGTTGAATGAATCCAAGGATGATAACCAGTTTCCAGGATAAGTGCAATATTATCAATTGCAACAGGACTCACATACAAGCAAGCTCAGTGCTGCTGAAAGCCTCATCCAACAGCAGGCAGAACAGGTGAGCAGAGCCAAGAGGACCACACTGGTGAGGAAGATGGACAGCTCTGGACACACATTCTCTAATCTAGTCAAACGTCCTTTCTCACACAAGTATCACTCCCTAGTAGGAAATTAATGCCCAAAACCTCACAACAAAGCTCAATGCTAAGCATCCTGGTCAACATCCAATCCTTCCTATCATCCTACCAAAGGCAGGTTTCACTTGCATGTCATGCTCACATGTAGGCTTGCGGGTCACCATCCAAGCCTTCTTGTCGTCCTACCCAAGCCAGGTTTCACTTTTATGTCACAGTAACTGAGGCAAAGGTCACTTCTTCCTGTTTGTATTCAGAGATTTTTTAAAAATATAGACTAATTAGGAGCCCCAAATCACCTGAACTTTGGCACCACCTTTTCTCACTTGTTCTTTGAGGTTGGCTAACTGGTTGTTTGGTTGGTTGTTTGAAAGCTGGAAACCAAAAAAAGAAAGGACTGGGAGTAGAGGTAGTAGCCTACTACCCTTGTTTTCACTGTGAGAGTAAGAAAAAAAAAATCAAGATAGTTTTCCAAACAAAATCACTCCAATTTTCTATGCAAAAGTTGTAGAAGAGGCCAAAGAGATTGATGAGAACAAGCCAAGACATCAGAGGATGAAATGTGGGACTGTGGCTCAGGGCGATAGGTGTGAGCATTTAAGTAGCATGTAATTCCTGATGTCTGGGGCTTTGTTCTTCAATGACAAGTAGGAGGAGGACAGATCGAATGAACCTGAGGATGCAGATGAGAACGAGTGTCTACAGGAGTTATCTAGAAGGAAGCTCAGAGCTGCTGAGAAGGTCCAACAGCAGGATGAAAAGGTGAGCAGACCCAAGAGCACCACACTGGTAGAGAAAGGGGACAGCTCTGGACAATCATTCTGCAATCTAGCCACCTGTCCTTTGACACAGATGTATCACTCTCCAGTAAGTAACTAATACCTAAAATCCAATGACCAAGCTCACTCCTAGGCTTCCTGGTCAGCACTCACCCCTCCATATCCTCCTACCCTTTAAAGCCAAGTTACACATTCATCTCAAACTCACTGAAGCAAAGGTCACATCTTTCTCCACACAATGAACACTTTTAAAAATACAGATTAATTAGGAGCCCCAAACCACCTGGACCTTGGCACACCTTTTCTCACCTCTGCTTTAAGGTAAGCTAACTGGTTGGTTGATTGGTGGGTTGAAAGCTGCAAACCAAAAGAAAACGAATGGGAATAGAGTCAAAAAGTCTAAACAGTCCCCTAACCAAAATCACTACAATTTTGTATGCAAAAGTTGTAGAAGACATCAAAGAGATTGATGAGATCAGAGGATAAAATGTAGGACAATGGCTCAGGTTAATAGGTCGCAGTTAATTCTTGATGTCTGGGGCTTTGTTCTTCTACAATGAGTAGGAAAAGGGCAAACTGAATGAGCCCAAAGATGAGAACTATATTCTCCAGAATAAGATCAAATCTTATCCAACAGGACTCACCTAAAAAGAAGCTCAGTGCTACTGAGAAGAGGATCCAGAAGCTCGTAGAAAAGGTGAAAGACCCAAAAGCATCACACTGGTATAAACTGGGAACAGCCCCAGATAGTCATTCTGTAATCTAGCCACCCAATTTTTGTCACAGAGGTATCAGTCCCCAATTAGTTTACTAACACCTAAAATTTTATTACCAAGGTCAATCCCAGGCTTATATGTCAACATCCAACCCAACTTATTCTCCTACCAAAGCAAGGTTTCACTTTCATGTCACAGTCACTGAGGCAAAAATCAATTTGTTCTCCATGTAGGGAGAGCTTTTGATAATATTTAATAATTTTATAATAATAATTTTGATAATATTTTGGTAATAATAGAGCTAGCCACTAACACTTGGACCTTGATCCACCTTTTCCCTCCTTCTCTTTTGAGTTGGCTGACTGGTTGGTTGGCCAATTGTTTTAGAGTTGGAAAACAAAGTAGAAATGGGTGGGAGACAAGGGCAGGAGTCTACCCACCCTTGCTCCTACAATGTGAGTTAGAAAGTGAGGCGAAAAGGCTTGGAAGTCAGAAGTTTATTTTCCAAAGAAACTCACTCCAATTCTCTTTGCAAGAGTTTGTAGGAGAGGTCAAAGAAATTAATTTGAATGATCTAAGATGTCTCAGGATGAAGTATGGGACTGTGGCTCATGGTGAGAGGTGTGAGCATTTTAGGTGGCAGGTAATTCCTGATATCTGAGGCTTTGTTCTCCTATGAAGAGTAGCAGCAAGAAAGATTGAATGAGCTCGAAGATGAGAACCAGAGCCTCAGGGATAAGATGCAATATTATTCATTACAACTGGAATCTACTACAATCAAGTTTGCTTGTGCTGAGAAGATCCAAGAGCAGGCAGAAAAGGTGAGCAGAGCCAACAGCACCACCATGTTGGGAAGGGGGATATCCCGGACAATCATTCTGAAATCTAGCCACCCATCATTTCTCACAGAAATATCACTCTCCAGTAAGTAACTAGTGCCTACAATCCCATGACCAAGCTCACTCCTAGGCTTGCTGGTCAGACTCCAGCTGTACCTATTCTACTCCCAAAGCCAGGTTTCACTTTCATGTCACACTCCCTGAGGCAAAGGTCACTTCTTTCTCCACGTAGGGAGCCTTTTTAAAATATAGATTAATTAGAGGCCCCAAATCACCTGGACCTTCACACCACCTTTTGCCACCTCCTCTTTGATGTTTGCTAACTGGTTGGTTGGTTGGTTGTTTCAGAACTGAAAATCAAAGGAGGAATGGGTGAGTGTGAAGGGCATGAGGCCACCCTCCTTCCAAAGCCAGGTTTCTCTTTCATGTCACACTTGCTGAGGCAAAGGTTACTTCTTTCTCCATGAATCGAGCGCTTTTAAGAACATAAGATTTTTAGGAGCCTAAAACACCTAGACCTTGGCACCAACTTTTTCCAACTCCTATTTGAGATTTTAGTGCTGGAAACAAAAGGAGGAAGAAGTACAAGTGGAGAGGAGGCTACCTACCCTCATTCCTCCTATGTGAGTGAGGAAGTGAGAAAAAAAGCAAGTCAAGACAGTTTTCCAATCAAACTCACTCCAATTTTCTTTACAAGAGTTTGCAGAAGAGATAAAAGAGATTGATGGGAACGGGTCAAGAGGTCCCAGGATGAAGTGTAGGACAGTGGCTCAGGGCGATAGGCATGAGCATTTTAGGTGGCAAATAATTCCTGATGTCTTGATCTTTGCTCTTCAATGCTGAGTAGGAAAAGGAGAGACTGAATAAGCTCGAGGATGAAAACCAGTATCTCAGGGATCAGATGCAATATTATTCTTTGCAACTTGACTCAGCTACAAAAAAGATCAGTGTTATTGAAAAGATCCAAGAGCAAGCAGAAAAGGTGAGCAGACCCAAGAACACCAAAATGGTGGGGAAAGGAAACAGCTCTGGACAGCCATTCTGTAATCTAGACATCTATCTTCTGTCAGAGAGATACTACTCCCCAGTCAACAATTAACACCTAAAAACCAATAACCAAGCTAGCTCCTGGCTTGCTGGTCCACATCTCACCCTAACTATCCTCCTAGTAAACATTTTCATGTCACGCTCACTGAGGCAAAGGTCACTTCTTTCTCCATGGAGAGAGCACTTTTAAAAAAATTTTTTTTAATGGGAAGAAAAAAACCTGGACCTTGGCACCACATCGAAGTGATTGAAGAGAACAGACCATGATGTCCCAGCATGAAGTGTGGGAGATTGGCTCAGGGTGACAGGCATGAGCATTTTAGGTGGCAGGTAATTTCTGATATCTTGGGCTTTGTTTTTCAATGATGAGTAGGAGAAAGCCAGATTGAATGAGCTTGAGAATGAGAACCAGTGTCTCCAGGATAAGATGCAATGTTATTCATCACAACTGAATTCAGCTACAAGGAAACTCAATGCTGCTGAGAAACAGATCGAAGAGCAGGCAGAAAAGGTGAGCAGACCCAAGAGAACTACAATGGAGATCAAGGGGACAGCCCTAGACAGGCAATCTGTAATCTAGCCATCCATCCTTTGTCACACAGTTACAACTCCCCAGTAAATAACTAATATTTAAATCCTATGACCAAGCTTACCCCTAGTCTTGCTGATCAGCAGGCCACCCTACATATCCTCCTACCCAAGCCAGTTTTCACTTTGATTTCACACATAACTGAAGCAAAGATCATGCCTTTCTCCATTTAAGGAGCACTTCTAATAATATAGATTACCTTTGGATTTTTCACAGGAACAACAAACCACCTCAATCTTGCACCACCATTGCCTAACTTCTATTTTGGCTAACTGGTTGGTTGATTGATTGGTTGGTTGTTTTAGAATAGGAAACCAAATAGAAATGAATGACTGTGGTGGGCAGGGAGCTGGTTATATGCCCTTGTTCCTACTACATGAGTGAGGAAGTGAGAAAAAAGAAAGTCAAGACAGCTTTCCAACCTAATTCATTCAAATTTTCATTCCAAGATTTTGTAGAAGTCAAAGAAACTAATGAGAATAGACCGAGATCTCACAAGATAAAGTTTGGGATGGTGGCTCAGGGGAATAGGTGTGAGCATTTTAGGTGGAAGGTCATCCTAGATGTCTGGAAAGTTATTTTTCCATGAGATGTAGGAGAAGGATAGATATAATGAGCTCAAGAATGAGAACCAGAATCTCCAGGAAAAGATGCAATATTATACATTGCAACTGAACTCAGTTACATTGAAGATCAGTAGTGCTGAGAAGCAGATCTAAGAGCACCACAGTGGAGGTGAAGGCAGATAGCTCTAAACAATCATTCTGAAATCTAGTCACCCCTACCTTCTCACAAAGGTATCTTTCCCCAGTAAGTAACTAAGGATTAAAATCCTATGACCAAGCTCACTCCTCCACTTCCTGGTCAACGTCCAAACTTTTGTGTCAGAGTCACTGAGGCAAAGGTCACTTCTTTCTCCATGGAGAGAGCACTTTTCAAAAAAATTTTTTTAAATGGGAGGAAAAAAAAAAAACCCTGGACCTTGGCACCACATCAAAGTGATTGAAGAGAACAGACCATGATGTCCCAGCATGAAGTGTGGGAGAGTGGCTCAGGGTGACAAGCATTTCAGGTGGCAGGTAATTTCTGATGTCTTGGGCTTTGTTTTTCAATGATGAGTAGGAGAAAGCCAGATTGAATGAGCTTGAGGACGAGAACCAGTGTCTCCGGAATAAGATGCAATGTTATTTATCACAACTGGACTCAGCTACAAGGAAACTCAGTGCTGCTGAGAAGCACATCCAACAGCAGGCAGAAAAGGTGAGCAGACCCAAGAGAACTAGAATGGTGATAAAGGGGGATAGCTCTAGACAGTTAATCTGTAATCTAGCCATCCATCCTTTGTCACACAGTTATCACTCCCCAGTGAATAACTAATAAGTATGACCACGCTCACTCCTAGGCTTGCTGGTCAACATCCAACACTACCTATCCTCCTTCCAAACCAGGATTCATTTTCATGCCACACTCACTGAGGCATACGTCATTTTTTCCAATGTAGGGATCACTTTTAAAAATATAGATTTAATAGGAGCTGTAAGCCACCTGGATATTGGCACCATATTTTCCCACCTCCTATTTAAAGTTGGCTAACTAGTTGATTGGTTGGTTGGTTCAGAGCTAAAAACCAAAGGATAAATGGGTGATAGAGGAAGGCAGGAGGCTACCAACCCTTGTTCCTACTAGGTGAGAAACTAGAGGGGGAAAAAAAACAAACAAGACAGTTTTTCAACCAAACTCACCAAATAAATTTTCTTTGCAAAGAGTTTTTAGAAGAGGTCAAAGTGATTGATGAGAAAAGGCCAAGATATCACAGGATGAAATATGGCATTGTGCCACAGGGTGCTGGGGGTGAGCATTTAAGGTGGCAAATAGTTCCTGATGTCTGGGACTTTGTTCTTCAATGACAAGCAGGAGAAGAATAGATGCTATGAGCCCGAGGAGGACAACCAGTGTCTGATGGATAAGAGGCCATTATACCAAGACTTATTTACAAGAAAATGTAGTTCTTCTGAGGAGAATATCCAACAGCAGGCAGAAAAGGTGAGCAGGTCCAAGAGCACCACAATGGTGGGGAAGAGGAACAGCTCTGAGCAATCATTCTGTAATCAAGGCCATCCATCCTTTGTCACAGACATACAACCGCCCAGTAAATAACTAACACCTCAGATCCTATGACCAAGGCCATTTCTAGGCTCCCTGGCCAACATTCACCCCTATCTAGTCACTTGTCACTTCAAGGTTTCACTTTTACATCCCAGTTAATGACTCAAAGATAGGGAGGACTTTAATATTGATTGACTGACTGAGTTAGTGGGATTCCTCAAACCAGCCCCCAACCATGACCTTTCCTACTCCTATTTTATTTACATCTAGCAATGGCTGATCATTTGCTGGTTGTTTTTAAATATGGAAACCAAAGGGGAAATGGGTAAGAGTGGAAGCAGATGGTTACCTACCCTAATTTCCAAAACATGAGGAAAAGGAAAACCAAGATCATTTCTTTTCCAACTAAACTTGCCCCAGTTTTCTTTGCAAGAGAGGAATTTTTTAGAAGAATTAGAAGACAGTCAATGAAGATAGAGAAGGGTCAAGGTATTACAAGAGGAAGGGTGGAATTGTAGAGAACGGTAGCAAGTATGCACTTCGCTCTTAAATAACAATACTAGTAACAGGTCACATTTATATATAATACTTTAAGAGTTGCAATGTACTTTACATATATTATCTCGTTTGATCAATGAGGGAGTAGGAGAAGGAGAAAGTATGTAAGCTAGAGCTGGAGAACGAGATCCTCCGGGATGCACTGAAACGTTGTACGAAGCAATTGGAGTCAGCTACAAACAAGCTCGAGACTACTAAGGAGGCAACCAAGGTGAAGGAAAATGAGGTGAGTGTTGCAAAGAACTGAACGCTGGGGAATCATTCATCATCTTGCCAGGTAACTCACAGACAAGCTCTGACTCCTCCACCATGGAAGGAAAATGAATCCTGGCTTCTCTGGTCACTTTAGAACACCTCTAACAGATTTCTCATTGACTTCCACTTTGGCTTCCAATGTCTCTGTCCTCATCATGATATCTTTTTACCATTTCACCTTCACGTTGGCATTTCTCAGTCTTGTCACTTCTCAAGCTGTTAGCGTGAATCCCAGACTTTTTAGGGATTCCCTCATTTCCCCCAAATACATATTCCTTAGCTTCTCCAGAAAGTAAACACTTTTCGTGACAGAAGACCAAATAATTTCATTATAGGAATAGTCTCACCCTAGAGCCATTTGTATTAGGAAGTTAGACAACATCCAGTCTTAAGTTTCTCAACACAATTCCTAAAGTCAAACAGCTTAAGCTTCCACAAGAACAGGTGCTATAAATCCAAACGGTTGGCCATTGTAATGGATGGAAGGAAATACAGCACTGACAAACAACAGATACTGTGTGTATGTGTATGTGTTTGTGTGTGTGTGCACGCGTGCATGCACATACACAGACATGCTAAAGAGAGAAAGCCAAGCATAGCCATGATTAGGTTTCCTTCCTGCTCACACAATGATGGGTAAAGGCTTAGCCAACCCAACTTTTAACATAATGACAGTGGCTGACATTTATAAAGTATTGTAAAACTATTATCTCATTGGATCTTCACCACAACCCTATGAGGTTGGTGCAAGTAATATTATTCCCATTCTATAGGAGCAGCCCCTGAGACCCAGAGGCTAATAAGTGGCAAAGCCAGGCTCTGAAACCAGATCTTCCAACTCCAAATGCAGCACATGTTTCTCTACACCATGTAAGGCCTGGGTGTAAAGTTTTAATATTAAGCCTGTCTTTAGGGAATACATTCAGGTCTCTCCTAACACTAAGAAAAATCCTCCCAGAAAGCAACAATTTTAGGGAGTAATGTAGAATATAACTCATCAGTGTAAGTACACAGGGTTATACCTTCACATTTAACCTAGAGTATTTACAAAACACTCCTTTGAGCATATCATATACCAGGCCCCAAAGTGTCACCCTACTCCTGAAATGGGGAACATTACCCCAAAAGAAAACTGGCCATCAACAGAGCCTAGAAACAGAAGCCACAATAGGATTCATGTGAGTATCCAACCTAAGGTCTCCAAAAGTACTTAGTGGTGAGAGTTGGAAGAAGGATGATGGCATTCCCTTCCCCAAGGTGGTGTGCAAGAAAGAAGCTCTGACCCATGTACAAAAGGATCTCCAAGAGGCTGAAAAACAGGAGCAAAAGAACAACCTCAAAAATACTCACTCCTGCCTGGAGTCAGCTCGAAAGTCGTCAAACCAAGACAAACTGAAGGAGGCTCTAGAGAAGGTTAGGAAGTAACCTCATATCCCCTTGTACAGAAATACGGTAGAGCTTGAGGCAGTCAGGCCAGATTCAGGGGACTGGGACTGATGGAAGAGAAGGGTGGGGATCACCATCCAACTGGCTTTGACCAAAATATTCGGCAAAGCCTGGAAGCCAAAGCATTTGGCACCTCAAAAGATAGGGGATAGGATTTCCTTGTAATCTCCTCCTAGGCACCACTACCCTCGAGGCAGAAAGGAAGAGCCAGCACCTGGCTGCTCTTAACCTTGCCCTGGGAGGACCAAGGGTAAAGTGTGGACGGACTTGAAGAAAAAGGGGAAAGGGATAAAGATGGGTTGTCTTAAGGGTGCCTGACTAACCAATAAAGTCAAAGGATTAGAAGAAGAGAGGGCTAGGGAGGGGGGGAAATGTAGGTTTTTAATACTCTCAGCAATTCATTTCCATTGTTGTGTATTGATCTGCAAAGATAACCCCCTCCCAGTTTCCCTTCTAATCTCAGCTACACTGGTTTGTTGGTGTAAAAACTTGAGACCCACCTTTTGGGATTGGGCCAATGTGAGAATTTATTTCCCTTAATTATGCATATGTATTACAAAGGTTTGTTTTTTTTAAATCTTGTTTTGTTGTTTGCTCGTTTTTAGTAGTAGGGGGGAGGAGCTGGGAGGGAAAACAAATTATTGTAAATTGAAAAAACTAACAATTTTTTCAAAAGTAAACATTTTGTTAACCCTCTCCCTTTCTCTTTCCTAAACCACCTAGAAAAGCATTAGATAAATAGAGGTCTTATCACTAGAGAAAAGGAGAACCTTCCAAAAGGAAGCAAGCCTCCATGAGATGCTGTCCATGGTCTCGTGGGGAAGCTTTCTCCACGTCCTTCGTCCTTAACCAAGGTGGGGGGTTAGCCAGGGCAGCTGGGCTCATCACAGCTCATTGGCCTCTGCCCCAAAGCTCACTCAGGCCAAGCTGGAGGCAGCCTCGCTTCGCCAAGAGTTACAGAACACCCAGCAAAAGAAGTCTCAGCTGGAGGAGGAGACATGCGCTTATAAGCACCGCATGAAAAAGCTCAACGGGGAGCTGAGGAAGCTCCAGGACTTTCACCAGCAGAGTGAGAAAGAGGTAAGAGTGCTGGGCTGCCTCATGAGACAAGCACGGTCCTGCCTGGCCCACCTCCTGGGGTAGGAATGATCTGGCCTTTCTGCCCGCCCAGCCTGAGCCGCCACTGCTTCTGTCGCTCAAACCCGTAGGCTCTGCAGGAGGCCGCAGGACTGCCTGGCACCTCGAGTCATGAGCTTCCCCTCCCTTGGTCTCTCCACCTACCTGCTCATGTGGGCTGGTTTGGGGAGCCCCTCAAGGGCCCTCTGCCACCCCCAGTCAGACGTTTTGAAAGGGTATCTGCTTCTGAACAACTGGACCTTACTTGCTTCCCAGGGTGTGGGGAGCCCCCCACGTGACTGTACAGGGAATACTCTCAGGCCAGGGCATGTCTCACTCCCTGGGCTCAATGGGCTCTGTTTCCTCGGGCAGGTCGATGCCTTCATTCAGCAGATAGAAGATATGAATTATCAGTTGGCCTTCTGGCAAAAGACACATGAGAATGACCTCCAGTTCTTGGCAGCCAAAGATGAGCAGCTTGTGGTCTTCAAAGTGGAAATGGCCTCCCTCAAGGAGAACCTGCGGGAAGAAGAGAAAAAGGTAACAGGGGCCAGCCTCCTTGTGCCGCGGCTTCTAGCCCCCCACTAGCCTGGGACCTAAGAATAAGCCACGGGAGGTGCAGTAAGAAGTCTCTGCACCATGAATTGAGCAAGGTTTGGGATGTGCACAGCAGTACTCCGTCATCTTCTGATTGTTCTTGATAGACTTTCTACAGGATGAAATCTCCATCTTAAAGCACAGATATGTATTAACTAGCTGAGAGGTACACGAGCCTCTCTTCGATTGCAGGTTTTGTTAGTTCTCATTCTAACCTCACTTCTGACTTCACCTACATGTGGTTCCTTCCGTGGGACCCATGGACACAGGATGAGGGTTGGGATTTAAGGCTCATTTCATACACCAAGGGTCAGGCATTCAACTTAGGCAACTCTCAAACCTGAACAGGGTGGGGGTGCTTAGAAACTAGAATCCAAGAAGGGGTTAGGGAGGAATGTGCTGGAGAATTTCCTTCTGGATGTGTTAATAGCCAGCAGCTCTTCTGTCCACCTTCCTCCCAAGAGTAACTGCTCCTGGTAGAGCTGAAGAGTTTAGTAGAAACAAACCGCAGTTAAGGGTCTTGCCCTCTAACCAAGGGAATAGGTAATAAAGTTGGTCTTCTCCTCGGGGGAGACCAGACCTTACCTCAGTTAGGAGGCAGATAGGCCATACCCCTACCTCTTTCCCACTTGTCCCAGGTAGAAGCCCTTCGGAACACCCTGGAGAGTGCTCAGAAGGACACCCGGAGATTTCACCAGGAGAATGAAATGGTTGCATCTGATGTACATCAGTGGGTGAAAGAACAAAAGTAAGGAGGAAAGATGTCAGGCAGGGTGGTCCTTCAGCTCACCCTCACTTTCCTGAAGCATTCCACATGGAGCCAAGTGTATCCCTGAAAACACTGTCTAATCCCTGCCCTTCAGGTCCAGCCCATACTGGGTTTGAGTAGGATTAGAGCGAAGAAGTTTGGAGCTCCTGTTCCGGAGTATCCAACTGGTATAGAATTGAGCCCGAAGGCAGCTTTTTTGTGACATACCTAGGAATGCTTCTCTTTTATTTCATCAAAATCTCATCAATTCTGTCACGAAAACTCTTGGATTTTCAAGGTTTTCAAGGATTAAAGGGCCTCTTTCCTGCCTTGTTGTGGTTACTAATGAGGCTGGGGCCTGTCTCTGCCCCCCACCCCACACAGTGCCAAGAACTCAGCCTTCCCAGCCACAGAACTATCAATCTAAACCTCAAAAGAATATAGCTATGGTGCTTCAGTCTAAGAGAAGGGAGGTGGGTCTGTGGGGACTGGACTAGCTATTACTTTCTCTTGTGAATTTAATTACAGAGATAACACAGAGAAATTAGGATCCAAGATCCGAGAACAAGTCAAATGCATTTCTCAACTGGCTGGTGAAAAGGAGTAAGTCACCCTACTCTAGGAAGGCTGAGTCTCCCTGGTATGTACCCTTTCCTTCCTCATTGCCCCGAGCCAGGCAAGGGGATCCACAAAGAATTTGGGCAGTTCTTTTCATCATTCACACCTAATGAGAAGCCCAAAGGAGGCACTAGGGATTCTTTTTTTTTTCCCCTCGTTTCAGGGAAGGAAGCAGAGTTGGGCCCTAGATCAGGGAGTATCACAGGACTGATGTAATCCTGGGTCTGCTGCTCCCAGATGTGTGATCTCACACAGATCCCTTCCTTCTCTGGACTTGTTCCCTCTTTATCAAGGGACACTCAGTGATCTCTAAGGTTCCCTTCCAGCTTTCAAACTCCGTGAATGGTATCTCTCTCCATCCCTCCCAGACGCCTTTGTGTTCCACACTGATCTCTCACTATTGGTACACCCTCCCCTTTTCCCACAGCCATCTCCACAACGTGATGGTCCATTTGCAGCATGAAAACAAGAAGCTGAGGAAAGAAATAGATGACAGGCGCCAACAAAATGAGCATCTGATGGTAAGGAGTATCCCCTACACCTTGGCCAAAGGGGGACTCAAATAATAGAAGGAAACCATAGGTGCCTCCCTAAAGAAAGATGGCGGTCACATTACTTGACTTAAGATTGATGCCTATGCACAGTGCTGCTCCCCATGAGGTGGTCTGACCACCAGAGAAGGGCAGCTAGCCACTGAGAGCAAGGGAGAGAGGTAGGAAATAAAGGATGCCCCACACTAGAGAAACAGTAATGCTCTTAGCCACCTAAAAACACTAACACACACACGCGCATACACATACACGCCTTAGTAGTTCACATGTAACTTGTTCAGGTGCTATATTCTTCATTTGGCTCATATTTAGAAAAATAAATGCTGAAAAGTGCCTTAAACCCAGAGAACCCTAGCTTTGACCCTATTGCAGAGGGTACAAGATCAGATTTCCATTATCGTGTTTTTTTAATCTTTCCTGAAGAAAACACCATAACTCTACAAGTGTATTTTTCTGCCGCCTTTAAAATCTCCATCATTCCTCCGTACCACAGGGTAAACTCAGAGGGAAGAAGCCATTCTTGAAATCTGGCCTCTTGGGCTTTCCAGTTGCCTCAAAACATGTTATTTTCTTTCCCCTTGAGTCAAAATTGTCATTTTCTGCTTCCTCCTAGGTTCCTCACTACGATATTACAATTCCTTGCATTGAGTATCATCTCATACCACAGTGTGTAGAAAACCACTAAGTTTACACCTTCATAATTTGTCTTTAATCAATTCCCACCGCTTTTTGGTTTTGTCCAGTCACAAAGGAGCAAGCCTCCAAACCATAATAGTATCTATCTGACTGAGATTTGTAATAAATGTTTTTCAGACAGAAGAGGTCTCACTGGGATTCCAGACCCTTCTGCCCATTTCAAGGCTCATGACAGTCAGGTGCCCCAGCCCTGCCCTCCCTGATCCTGAGCAGAGTAATGATAGGTTTCTTTCATTTATATTGACGTGCTTCACCACTCATGTACAACAACCAGAGCAAACCTCTGGATCTTATTTTTTTAATTTAACAGGAAATCATTCATGAGGAAAGAAAAATGAGTTTTTTAAGATCTAAAGACATAGGAATCTTTAAACCTTGAAAGGGAAAGAGAAAGGAAAAGGGGAAAAAAAGTCCAAGAGAGGATGAAAAATATAAGGGATAATAGTGAGCCTAATGCAGATTTTCCAAGTTAAGAGTTGCAAATACATGTTAGCTACCTTCTCCTCAGTCTCCATAATCCTTTCCTCCTTTTAACCATATTTTTCTCCTATACAAGTAAAATCCCATTATAATGAAATCCACAGGACATCCAAATTATTTTATTGAAGTGAAACTGCATTACATTGACTAGAATGCTAGAAATCACATCCCTAATCTGCAGGACCTAGGGAGAAATAGTTAATGCCATGCTTTCCATAGTGAATCACCAAGTAGAAAAACATGTTTTCCTTGAACAAAGTAAGAGAGAGGTTATATACACACTTGCTCTCACTTCTCAATTCTTAACTCTTTTGTGTTCAATTTGGAAGTCTTTCTGGAGGAGGCCAAAAAAAAAAAAAGGATTTATTTCTTCTCCCTTCTTCTTGGTCCACAGTTATCAACCCCACACATTGATACATTCTTTATGGTAACTGTTACATGAGAAGGGACTGAATTATTCACTGCAGTGAATTTGTTATAAGCTAATCAATAAAGCTTAAAGTGGGTCAAATGATAGACCATAGAAGTTGCTTGGGTATATGAGACACATCTCATTCAGAAAACATCTATTTTAAAGAATGACATATCCTACTCCCAGCTGATGGTTCACTTATATAATCAATATAATGAAAATACAGTTCAACAAAAAGATTTGGATGGTCCCATTTGCAGCTCGTTGTAACGGACTCTGCAAATACAAAATGCTGCTGGTTGCCCGTATGCTGGAAGCAGAAGTTAGCCCCTTCAGTTATCGTCTTCAGGAATTCTCTTACCTTTTTAAACTAGCAGTGAGTTAAACTGCAAAAGAACAGAGCCATGTATAAACTGTAAGAGATGCACAAAAATCTGAAGACAATGCACCAGCTCTGAGAGCACAGCCAGTACTAGGAGACTTTGGCTACAAGAGGGACACACAGAAATGTTAAGTGTACAAATAAGCTACCTCCCCAAAACAGACAAGTGGAGTTTCAAGAAGAGACCATCAAATGTTGCCTGCCTACAAATCTACAAGTAGCAAAAATAAAGTATAGAGAAAAGAGGTAAAGTGGTGAGACTGTCTAAAATTATACAAACTAAGGCTATAAAATATCATGATTAAAAACTTTGATACTAAATAATAGTGTTGACTATTACAATTGATTAAAGTTAAAGCATATATCCCTCCTTTCTAACAGCCAAAAAACCCTACCTTGTAGAAGTTTATTGGGAAGTCTTGGGTCAAAAGAAACTCTAAAAAATTTAAATTTTTTTTAAACGATATGATTGAGAGAATGAAACTGGCCAATGGGGGTCACAGACAAAAACCTAAGCCCAAATGAGGCATTTGCTTTAGTTTGGTTTGTAGGGAGAAAGAAAAGAGAAAAGTATTGGGGTGATGGGGTCTTTCACTAGGAATTTGCTCTTCTCAATCCCCAGAATATGAGTTCAGATCTTGCACCTGACTCAGAATCTTGGCCCCCCTCACTCACTACTTAGAAGTCCCTTTCTCCATCTGTGAAAGAAAAGTGCCTTTAAATCCCACTCACTTTGGGGCAGCCAGGTGGCGCAGTGGATAGAGCACCGGCCCTGAAGTCAGGAGGCCCTGAGTTCAAATCCAGCCTCAGATCAAACACACACTTGACACTTACTAGCTGTGTGACCCTGGGCAAGTCACTTAACCCCAATTGCCTAAAAAAAAAAAAAATCAGTTACTTTGTACAAAAATTAAGTGACTTTTGTGCCTTCTCTAGTCAACAGCAAGGATAGGAAAAGAAGCAAGCTACTTACATGAGTAGAACCTGTGAACCTATGAGGCTTGCAAAGTAGTCTTTCCCACTTACACATCAAACACAATGGCTGGCTTTTATTATCTTTTTAAACTAAAAGCATTCCCCATGTCCACAAACTCAACATTTGGCAGGCCCGTTCGAGAAAATTTTAAATACATCAACAGCCATCTGCAGGTGAACTACATAATGCCTCATGAGGGAAATGATGACCTACCTGCCCAGCAGAATCCTGAAAGTATAAAAAGCCATCTCATTCTCAGGGCAGCTAGGTGGCACTGAGTCACAAAGAGTCATCTTCCTGAGTACAAATCCGGCCTCAGGCACATACTAGCTGTGTGACCCTGGGCAAGTCACTTAACCCTGTTTGCCTCAGTTTCCTCATCTGTAAAATGAGCTGGAGAAGGAAATGGCAAACCACTCTAGTGTCTTTGCCAAGGAAACCCCAAATGAGATCGCCAAGAGTCAGACATGACTGAAACAGCTGAATGAGCTCCATTCTAAGACCAAAGGTTTCAACTTAAGTAATTTTTCACTTCTAAAAAGGGGTGCATAAGTAAGTCACACCAATAAACAGCCGTCATCGGATGTCACAGTTGAAATAGACTTTTGAGATCATTTAGTCCACCTCATTTTACAGATGAGATAATCTAGGAAAGTTAAGTGACCTAGGGTTATAGGAGTGGCAAAGGCCAGGCTAGAGCTCTGGCTTCATGATTACAAGTCCAGTGGTCTCAGGTCCATACTATGCTGACTCAATATATAACCAGAGGTCTAAACACCTGATTATCATTCCCACCTACGAAAGAACGAAAGTGTTTGAGTCCTTCCAGCCATCCCACCAAGGCGGCCAACTTAGGAAACTTCCTCAGTAAAGCAGGTTGGACAGCCAAATTCCACTCCAGAATTTGCTCTGAATATCCCAGGAACGTTCCTGGGTGATGCTCAGTGCTAGCCTAATCACAAAATGGGGCTCACAGCTTCAACAAAGAGAACTCCAGGTTTCTGAAATAGAATCTCCAGAGACCCTGCCTCACTGTTATAGCTCAGTTTGGGAACTCATTAAGCAAAACACCAGACAAAAACCCTGTCTTACAGACATCTGCTAGGAGGGATGAAGCCGGGCAGCTGAAATGACTGCACACAAAAGGTAACATCTCAGCAAGTCAAAGAGATGCTTTAACTGGGGGGCAGGGGAAATCAATCTGAGGACTTCCCTCTTCTCCAGGAGATCAATAAAGCAGAACTTAGCCAACAGGGTCAAAGTGCCTGGAAGCAGAAATGACCAATAACGAGGGGTAATGGAGCCGCCACAGCAGTCAGTCTTCAGGTGGACATTTCTTCTTGCTCATTAAAGACTTTCTCACACCCCATTAATGACTGCACAGTCGTCAAGGCTTTGTCATGGCCAACTATTCCTAAAGCAAAGCTGGCTAACCCTAGCCTTGCCAACTCAAATCCAGCTCCTGGGTCCTTCCAGTGTGGGGAGCTACCCAGCATGCTCCACAGGAGAAGGAAAGGTGCTTTCTGGGAGAAAAGAAAGGAAGTCAGGACTACCAAGGGTTTTGTGGAGAAATAAAAAAGAAAAAAAGCAGAGCAACCCGACCTGACTTTGAAGTGACGCTGTAGGGCAGCATAAAACAAAGGAACAGCCAGAAACACAGTAAAGTTTTAGAAACAATAAAATTATTTCCAAATTCCTGGGTTGTAAACGTGTTACAATTCCCTCCAGATCCATTTTGCTGCTTTACACAAAGATTAAAAAACAAGACACAGACAAAGCAAAGATACATTTATACACCAAGCATCGCAACGTTCTCCCCTTCTCAGACAACATGGGTTCTGGCCCCTCCTGGTCACTCTGGCAGTACAAAAAGGAAAGCCGGGAACCTAGGGTTCCTCAGCCCTGAAGGAGTCACCCTGCCAACATGCCAGAGGAAAGAGGTCGATGAAAAAGTGTCATTAAGCCACCAAAAGACAACCGTGCTTTCTGATCTTGGGTCTCAGCAAGAAACACCAGTCAATACAAGTTTCATTCACAGCCACCAACAGGCCTGCGAGGAAGCTCAGCACTGGCTCCTGGGTACTATAGGCCTTCCACAGATCCAGCGCTGGCTTAGAGTCCAAAGCGGGCTGGGGTCCGGCGAGGGCTAGCAGGCTCCCCTTGCTCCTTCCGCCCAGGCGTGTAGATCTTCACAGACCTAGGAGACAGAAGGCAGAGTTTGCCAGCAAACGGATGACATTCACTCCAGCCCAAGAAACCCAGAGAAGCCTTAGATCACTGTATTCTTTCTACCCTGTACTTTGGGGCACTCTGAAGAATAAAATGTCCATGATGTGTTTCCCCATTACTCTATGGGACTTTTTTTGGGTAGGAATATGGATGTAGATTGACAGCTATATGGCATCACAGAGGTTATCTAGCCCAACCTGCTCATTTTACAGAAGAGGAAACTGAGGGCCAAAGAGAAGATGTGTCAGACTAAAGTTAGAAGTCTCTGCCTCTCTATAACAAAAGAAATAATTAGGAATGTGGGAAACCCACTGATTCCTTGGAAATTAAGCAATTTCCTAGTTTCCTGTCTGATTGAGGGACCTCATGGGCAGCTACGTGTCACAGTGATTACAGCACCGGCACTGAAGTCAGGAGGATCTGAGTTCAAATCCAGCCTCAGACCAAACACTTGACACTTACTAGCTGTGTGACCCTGGGCAAATCACTTAACCCCAACTGCCTTAAAAAAAAAAAAAAAAGGAAACTGATTGAGGGACCTCACATTACAGATTAAGTAGCCACCCTTCTGAAAGCTTTCCCTAACATTGTTCCCCTTTTCCAAAACCTCAAAGGTGGCAGGGATTTCTACAGCCTATACTTGAACAAGAACTCCCTATGAGAGAGCAGGCAAACGGTCATCTCACCTCCTCTTGAAAACTTCAAGGCAAAGGGAGATCACTAC